GACAGCTATCGCCGGTGGCTAAGCGCGGCTTCGTTTCTGGGCATCGTGGCGGCGGTCGCTGCCCTGCCCTGCGTTGCGGCGCTTCTGGCCTACGGCGCGGTTGTCTTCTCACAGCGACGATCGAAACAGCAGTCGCTCACAGTCCGACAACTGCTGGCCATCTCGGACCTGAAGTGGACGGCCTTTGTCACAAGCGGCGAGTCGTCGTCCTACTTGCTTCTGGCCACCGGCCTGCTTTTGCTGGGTAAGCCAGGCCACGGCTCCCGCTGATCTAAGCTAACGCAACCAGCTGCCGTGCAACCACCATTGCAATCACTGTTGATGCCGGCATCTAGCCGCCTGGTGTATCCTTGCGATAGTTCAAGACACCTCATCAAATGGGATCGTTCATGTGACGGCGTGGAAACTCGTGCCCAGAAGGTCGGCAAGGACGCCGAGCCGGTGTTGCTCAGGGAAACAGGCGCCTCGCCCATCGTCGGCGCTGTCAGAAGCAACATGGTCAACATCACCTCAGCGGACATCCAAGAGAACCTGTGGCGGGACGGCGATACACAACGTAGCTTCATGACAGGAGAAGCCCAAGCGTATAACGAATCGTTCTGGGTATCAGCGGTGCCTGCGGGGGCGACGACGGGACCGCTCAGGCAGCACTCTATTCGGCTCAGCTCGTCCGCGGAATGCGAGGTTGCGGGCCGTGATGCGTTTCCCGTCAGCTGCGACGGCTACGCAACCTCTCTCGAGGGCTTCGGCGTCGTCGTGCGGACATGTATGCCAGGCAGCCATACGAACACGGACAACGGCATTCCCCCGAGACGTCGCCAGGATGTCGAGGAAACCCTCTTCATCGACGCGCAAATCAGTGCCGAGGCGGCCAAGTCAAAGGACTTTCTGCCGGAGCCAGCGGAAAATGTCACCATCAAGTGTGTCGCCAGGACGACGCGCGCGTTCTTCGAGATCGGCAACTTACACACGGGGTCCCGTCCGTCGGATATCGTCGATGAGTGGCCATCGGACATGGCACACTTTCATGATTATGACTGGCTGGGCAACCTCATCACCAATACGTTCGTAGAAAACAGGCTTTCGCAAGAGCGCAGACTGACACTACACAGGTCTCAAGACGACTGGAACCGCGACCGGTTCGCCGGCTGGACCTCACCGCAGGGCCCGCTGCGATCAACTGTCGAGGCGCTCTTCGGCAATGGCTCGTACCCTGAAGCCGTCTTCGACTTCTTGAGGCAGACCTTCCCCGACCAGCAGTTGCCAGATAACCAAGCCCCCGATGGCGCTGTCCGGGATGCCACGCGCAAGGCCTGTGCCTTGGAGGCTCCCTTCAGCGCCTGGCAGCTCCCCTACAACTCCGACAATGACGAATTCGATTCGTGGTTTGCCTCGGTATACCAGGCCTGCTCGCTCAAGGAGCTCCCGAAGACGCTGTTCAGGATCGCGCAGGGTCTCCGGTATGAGAAGGTGGCAAAGAGCACCCTCGGCGTCGGCATGTACCTGTCCAACGCGGCCGTTCTCCAAGACGCCGCTGCGAACGACGCGGCAAGAACCATATACAACTTGACCGGCACCGGTTTCGTCACGCCTCGCTATACCCTGGGGGCAACAGTCGCCATCAGCTTGCTCATCAGCGCGCAGGCCGTCGCCCTCATACTGCTCGTCTTCTACATCTACAGCCTGCCCACTTGGACCGACACGCTGGACGCCTTCGCCATGATGAGGCTCGGGGCGCATCTGAGGGAGTCGGTGGAACTGCCTATCCTGGGTCGCGTCAACCGGGGGGAAGTCGCAGTGCTGGGCGAGACGGACGGTTTGCTCGGGGTCGTACCCGGCACGGCGGGCGACTCAGAGGAGGATGTCGAATTGGCCGCATTGGCCCCCTCCAGTGCCATGCAGAGGGACGGAGCATCCACACACCACTACGCGATGCTTAGCCCACTATCACCCGCCAGTACACTCTCGTCCTGCGAGGCTCTAGTGCCGCCCACCCACGCGCGTCAGGACGCCACGATGCCTGGAATGGACGCTGGCGAGCTGAGCGACTTTCTCCAAGGGGCCCCGTCGGCGACTTCCTTAGTGTCGTCCGCTCATAGCTCTTCGCCGCCACCACCGTACATGCCGGCCAGATCGGCAAATAGGGGCCAACGGGTGAGGGGGCCGTTACGGTTGGCATTAGGAGCTTCTGGGCTCATTACAGGAGCATTGTAGGCAAGGTACAAGCCCTGGTTCTATTCGGAAAGGAAGGCGAATAGAATTTTATTTTATTTTAGATCGTTTAATACCCATACAATGCATACTATCTCCTCATGCGGCATTGATACCACCCCAGGCCACGTCGCAGCTGGCGAATTAGGCCGACTCGGCCTGCCGCTAAGAAGGACAGACTGCGGCTAACAGGAACCAAAGGCAAGTCAATTCCGGTTCGGGCCCTGCAATGTGGGCACATTAAAGTTTCAGGAGGGGGTTTTAGACTGGCAGATCGTGGTGTCGAGCTACCGTCCCTACGCTAGCCGTATTGAGCTCCCTTAATTCCTGACTGCCCCGCCTTTTGAAGCTCCCAAAACCATCAGGATTAACTATTTAGCTCCGCATGCTTGGTGTTGAAATCTTTGTCAAGCAAGCTATTTTTGGCGGTGGGTTCCCAACAGCTCAGGCAAGCCAAAAATGAGTTATTCTGTGTTCTTGGTTGTTGGTGGTGTTGTTTAGTTTGCACCTCAGGAAGCATTTAATAGCCTATTAGAATTCTACAGCTACATCAGTCTCTCTTTAAGGTAGCGAAGCCACCTGCGTTGTTGTATTCGTTGCCTTCACAACGTACTAATCTGATCCTCTGCTACAATCAACTGCGACGTTGCTAGCGCTGCAATCCAGGGCGTATATGGGCTGAGCGTGTTGAGCGAACAGCGCGTAGCTGGCGTTGGCCCTGGCCCACCTCGCTCGGCACTCCGCTTCCAGTCTCGGAATGAGGGTTCTTTAATCCGTCGGGAACAATGAGGAAGTAGAGAAATACTATGATACAAACACAATGATGCCCTGATCTCCTTGGTAGTGGACTGGGCATTCAATCAACGACCACTCTCAACCTCTGCGTCACCACCTACTGCGACATGCCAGCTTGAAGTGGTTCGCAAGCAGGCTACAATGCTGAGGACCGATCCAAGAGAGGAAGCTCACTTATCAACCCAACCCCGCCACTGATGTTTCCAGCTGCCGTCTTGCCAGTTCTTGCTTGATCAGCTGCGACATGGTCTTCATCCGACCAGAGGCCCACCAGGTCGTCCGGTCCTCCAAAAGCAACTGCGAAGTGCTGTAGAAGTGATACAGCACAAGCAACGCCCTCGAATCGTTGGCTACAATCATGTCCAGAAACGGCCCAAAGCAGAAGAGTGGGAAGGCGAGTATGTAGCGTTCCAGGTCCGATCGCTCAATTGGCCGAGTGTTGGTCTCGCGGTGGGCATGGAGCGTCAGGATGACTGACAGCAGATCGACGATGCCACGGAAAGCAGCGCGCTCTGTGTCGTTCTGAGCAGTACAATCTTCGAGACTTGCGCCGGCTGTCAGCTCATCGTAGCGCGCCATAAAACCCTCGACGATGTTGCCACGATCCATCCCTTGCTCCGCGACAATCAGGCTGAGCGCGTCACACTGGGAGTTCTGCGAGGAACCGAAAAAGATGCTGTCGGAACCCTGTGCTCTTGTGCTTGATAGGAACAACCTTACGCCAGAGCTGAGGAGGAAGAGCTGGTCGCGCGAGAGGTCCAGCACCGGACCGTCCGGAACATGCTCGTCGTGGGGAAGCTCCAGATTGCACCACGTGAGATAATGGATGAGCTGTGCTGTAAAGAAGAGCGGGTCGTACTTGTCGCCGCGGTCAAGCACGGTGCTGAAAATAGAGCAGCTGCGAGACAATAAAGCCATCGCCGCTTCCGCGTAGGCTGTTTCCTGCGGTCGCAGGATGCTGAGGTGCCGTGCGGAGACTGCAAGCATGGCCGTCATCAGATACTCCTCCTTGAATGCGAGCGGAATGGCGGATGGCCAGATCTTGTCGAAGCAGAGGGTGGGAATTGTCACATGTTGGAAGTGGTGAAAGAGCTCTATGTGCAAAAGGTTGACAGGCCCAGAGGAGTCAAGCGGCCGCTGGGCCGGGAGCGAGTCTCCGGCCTCGGGGCTCGATGGCTTTGGTGAAGGGACGCATGCTTCATTGCGCCTGAGGCAGTTTTTGCAGGGACGAGATTCGTCGCACTGGTTCGGGTGAGTCCTGGGGAGTTCTCGTCGACATGGAGCCGCATCTCACCTTGACCTTCCTTTTCTTGCATGATGCGCAACCGCCTCTACTCTTCTTATGGGCCACCTTCTTCTTAGGCTCGGGGTGGGTAGAGCTAACGAACCTTAGGGGCAGAGCTTCGGCGCCTGTACGAGGGGTGGAACGGTTTTCTGGCATGAGTAGGAGTCTCGTGATCTACCATGTGGATATTCGTTTACACAACCCTCCTTCATGAGAGATGCCCCTAGAAGTTAGATACTGGCGGTAATAAACCTCCTGAATGCAAAGGAACACTTAGCGCCGATAGCCGAAAAAGAAGGCAAACAGTATTGTTGATGGCTGGCGAAAAGTACGGACGAGATCAAGCCACCGGTTTAGCGGCCTTGGAGTCGAGACTGGAATCTCGGTTTCCTAAAACGGAATGCTAGGGGAAGGAGCCATCAGCCAAAATAGTTTAGCGTAATCCCTATCGCACGATCCTTGAAGGAGCGATGTAAGGGTCCTCTGGCCAATGACGTCACTGTAGGGACTTCGTAAGGAAGCCATCACCTCCACGAGACACAACCGGCGGTTCATAGGCAGTTTCCACCAAAATCTGACTGCTCAATTGCCTATAAGAATACCTTGAAGTTGCTGTGAAGGGACCTGTTCGGGAAGTTCTCTGTAAACATGGTTCGGCTGAATATTGAATGAGAGGTTCTACGGCGCTGACCAACATTAAGATGGCTAGGCTAATATGCGAAGGATGCATCGGAGAAAGCAGGCGACTTATCAGTGCAAGGCTGCAGCAGCCGCCGCGCCTTTCAATATATCGTTCATCTTGATCTAATCATATTCAACAGTCTCGAAACCGCGGTAATCAGCCGTTTCGTAAGAGCACAGGGATGGCGGGACCAGAGTTCCAGGGAGACCTCTTCATCCTCCCTCACATGGAAGCTTGCATCCTCCCGACAATTGCATCAAACGGACCTCCTAGCCCATTCAATATTGACCTCTTCACTGACGCCTCGTTTTCCATTGCCAAGGGCTGTCAGGGCCCGTCGAAGCCATCACAACCTGCGGGCGCCGCCGTCTTCTGGAAGCCGTGGCCAGGCCTGTTGGTACGGGACCCATGGCACTCGCGAGCCTTCCAGGTTCTGGCGTGTCGCGGCAGCAGGGAAGCGGAGCTCTTTGCCGTCGTCACGGGGCTCGAGACGGCTGCGCTGCTGGCGCATCTCATGCCGGAGTTGAGACGGGTGACGGTCTTCACGGACTGCCAGGACAGCATTCACACACTGATGGCGGCTGCTGCGAAAGCCTCTGACCCACTCGTCAAGCGCGCCGTTGCTGCATCCGTCGAACTCGTTGCTAGAGGCGTCAGGGTTCTCGTTCGTTGGTGTCCTGGCCACGTCGGCATTGAGGGGAACGAGAAGGCCAACGACCTGGCAAAGGAGGTCCGCTCTTATAACTTCAGGCACTTGGTGCCCAAAGAGCAGCCGGACTTGCTGGCTGGGTATGAGATTCCAGAGGAGTATTTGGAAAGGGCACGCCGCGGAGACTGGTGGAAGGATGATACCTTGAGACAACAAGCAACCGGCCCTCTTATCGACAGGTAGACGATACACTCGGCTAACATTACACATGGTTCACCCCCAAACAATATCAGTAGTTAAAGCCGAGACTCAAGAAAAGGGGGCGGGTCGAAGCATCCACGAACCCATAATTAGCAGCTCAAGTCTCTCCATCGCACTGCGTGTCCAAGAACTTGGTACAGGACGCCCCACGGATACCTCGTGGAGGGCTTTTGCAGCTTGCACGAAGATAATTGCTGACTCGGACGAGATGACAATCGACTTTCGACCCGACGGAGACCGCGCGTATCCCAGAGGAAACCTGCCTCGGCAAGGGCTTGCGCCCGCACCATCGCCGGTGTAATGAGTGTTTGCTTTGAGCTTGCGGCAACTACAGGAGCTAACCAGTCACGCCGGCTACGCACGCAACTATCATCAAACACTTCGTTTGGAGAGTCTATGGTTCCTATTCCATGTAGCTAATATGCAAACCGCACGCCGCCGCCCAGAACCGCCCAATGCTTGAAACCATAGCGAGCCATGCTGCGAAAAAAGCGAGATCGTCTCCTCCATCGTATGTGTGTGTGTGTGTGTGGGGTGTCCATCTTCTTCATGTGCCAGAATACTGCTTGTCTTCTGTCAGAGCTCCAACCCCACCCAGGTCTATCTGGGCAACTCATGCCGCGCCAGGTGTTTTCTTACGTCGTCATACGCAAAGGTCTATAAATACAGTGAAATCGGGGCCACAACGTGTGGCACTGACTTGGCATCTTTGTACGTTACTTACGCCGCCTTGTCTTCGAGACGGGCGCCGGCTCAGGCGACGGCTCGGCGGCCTGTCTCTTCTTGGTCGCCTGCTTCTTCGGGCGCGGCGGCGGCGGCGGCTCCGAGTGGAGGTGGCCGAGCTCCTCCATCGCGGTGGTGTTCTCCCACGCGAGACAGCGGTAATTGGTGGGCTCGGGCGTCGGCTCGTGGTGGCGGCCCCTCGTGCTCATACGCTTCGAGTCCCGCCTCTTGTCCTTCTTCTCTCCCTTCTCCTGTGGCTCCTCCGCTTCTGCGACGGCGAGGTACTTTTTGCGGTTCTCCATGTGCTGTACAATCTTGTCCCTGAAGGCGACAATCTCCTTTCTCAGCCGCAGCTCGTTGAAGCCGCGAGGGTCCAGCCACTTGAGAAGCTCGTCGACCTGCTCCGGCTCGCTGTAGTAGCCCCACTGGTTTGCGTTGAACACGCTGGTGGCGCCTTCTTCCAGTTTCTTCCTCTCCGGCACCGTCACGTCGAACTTGCTCTTGTACTCGGCTTGGTACTCGGGGTCGGCGTTGATGTAGCCCTCGCGCTCCAGCTCATCGGGGCCCTGCACCCAGATGCAGCCGTTGGCGTATCCGGCCTCGGCCGTCGAGCTGTCGGGGAGCCCCCCGTAGGGCATGCCGTTGCGCTCGAACCAGTAGTAACGGTTCCAGAAGCGGTCCTTGCCCAGCACGCGCGTGCGCCCGCAGTCGGCCTCGCGCAGGTCGTTGTCAATGACTGCAATCTCCTCTTCGCACTTCTTGATGAGATCCTCCTTCTTCTGAATTTCTTTGAGGACCTTCAGGAACTGCTTCGACGGCTTGGGCACCTTGGCGGCTTCGGCGGCCTTCTCCTTCCGCTCCTTCTCCTCTTTGCGCTTCCGCTGCCTTTCTGCGGCGCGGTCGTTAGCGCGTCGGAAATTCCTGCGCGGGGCGCCCTCGTCATCCGAGTCGAGCACCTCGTCCTCGGCATCCGCCGCCGACTCGTCTGCATCGGTCATCTTGACGTCTTCGTCCGCCTTCTGGTCGGGCGGTGGCGATGGCGGCATATTTTCTGGGAGCAAAATCTTGCGTTGATCATTGAGGGTGCGCAGTTCCTCGATTCTGTGAATGGTCAGCACTCATCTTCTCGCAACGGTCGGTGGTCCCTTACGCCTGTTTCCTCTGACGCTGCCAGTCAATCTTCTCCTTGCGGAACGCCGTCATCTGCTCACTGCACTCCTCCATGTACGTGCGCATGGCCTTGGTCTGCGTTGTGAGGATGCAGACGATCTGCAGCGCCTGCACTCGGTGGTTGACGTCGAGGTTGGCATAGCGCTCCCGCACGGTGTCCTGTGTAGGGTCCACGTCCGGGGGGCACAGCTGTGCGAGCAGGTCTTCGCACCGCTCCTCGAGCCGCTCGTTCTTCGACAGCTGGTGCAGCAGGCCGACCATGATGCGCTCCCAGCCGCCGTTCTGAAAGTTGCGTTTCCGAAGCTCCTCGATCCAGTCGTAGTCTTGGAGCAGGTCCTCTGCGCGGTGCTTGATCTCGGGTTCCACGTTCTGGCTCTCCTTCTCGGCGGCCCTCGCCTCCGCGAGTAGCCTCTCAGCCTCGGCCTTGGCGAGACTGCTTCGCGTGGCCCTCGCGGGGGGGCGCTCGGTCTCTGGTGTCGGCTCTTTAGCCTCCTCCTCGGAGCCCTCTTCCTCGGAGTCCTCCTCTTCGTCGTCCAGCTCGGGAAGCTGCACATTCACCTTGCCGCCGTCAGCTTCGGCGCTGACGATCTGCTTTAGGACCGCACAGTGTATCTCCTCGAACATCTGGACCTTGGTGTCCTCGGACGCAACGCACATGGCCTCGACAAAGTCGTCGAACGTGAATGAGTCGAGCTTGAAAATCTCGCAGTACACGTTCAGCGTGTCCCAAGTCTCCAGGAACGAGCCGACCGAATTCATCGACAGCTTGTCGCGTACGCCGGCGCTGCCATTTACAGGGACATCGGACGTGGTCGGGGGGTCCCTGCAGAGGAACGCCAAGGGCGGCCTGACGACGCCCTCCCTCAGCGGCACTTGGAGGTCTTCGATGGGGTACTTGGGGGGCGGCGGGGGTGGTGGGGGCTCGGGCGCGGTCATCGAATGCGGCAGCGGTTGGTTCCGGAAATTGAGCGGCAGCTGGAAAGGATTCTTGTGCGGCGGCGCGTGGAAGACGCCTGTCTCGGGACCTCCAAGCATCCCTGACGATCCGTTCTGGCCCTGCGGAAACTCTGGCGACTGGTTCTTGCCCTTTTGGCTCTTCGGCGCGGGTTTCAGCTCGGGCAGCCGCGCGGGGCCGTTTGCCATGGCGCCGTTGACGCCGTTTGTGCCTTGAGCGTCCTGCGTCGGGGTGTTGCTAGCTCGCTTTTGTGCCTGCAGCTGCTTCCTCTCCATCAACTTGGTATCGTAGCGCAGGTGAGGCGGGATCCGCGAGTCGATGTGGTACTGCGAGGCGACGTCGGGCTTCACGAGCCACGGCGCGCCGTTCCAGGCCTCACGCGTCACCGTTTTCTTGATGAACGACCGCAGAACTGACTTTGTGAAGATCTTGCGATCGCGAAAGATGTGATCGTCGTCGACGACGGCCTCGGTGCCGGGTCGATCCTCGAGGCTGACCGTGTATCGCGTGTAAGGAGCGGTCTGCGTGCCGTCGGGCAGCACCTTGCCGCCGAACCGAGTCTTTTCCCTAACAACTCCCTGTAGCCGTTCGCCGTCTGCCGTACTGACCGTCACGGCTTCACCGGGGTAGTAGTCCGCCCTGAACTCCTCAAAAACCATGTCAACGAGTGCATCGATTCGGGAGACAGTTTGGAACTGGACGCGACGCAGGACCGGGCCCTTGAGGGCTTCGGGGAACGCCTGCTCGACCTCTTCGGCGCCGGCGAGCTGCACCGGGGTTAGCTAATTGTGCCACGCTGGAACCGTCGACACTGACCTCGCTCTTGAGGGCTTCGAAAAACGTCATGCCCGAGTGCCCCGTGATCTGGCAGATGAATCGCCGCTACGCACTGGAGTCAGTCTTGGCTCGGCGCCCCACCTCGCTGGGGGCGTACCTGTTTGTAGAAATCCATTCTTCACCGCGTTAGCACGGGCGCCGGCGGAGACGCGAAGGGAGGAACGCCATCTCACCTATTGAGGTAGTCCTCATAGTGGGCAAATACCTCGCCGGTCTGTGGGATGTGCCAGACCTGAGGGGCTGCATCAGTACTCGTAGCATCGTTTGTAAATGTCACTTCGCGAACCTCTGCATTGTCATCCTTGACGTCCTTGGGAGGCAGCAACTGCACCGGTTTGCGTTTGAAAAGAACCTGGGGCCTACGTCAGTGCTCGGCGAGCTTCGAAAGCGCGTAGGGAGGCCGTACCATGGTGGCGGTGGGCTACAAGGGCATGGTCCTGGGATCGAGGTCCGAATGCGCAGTGGGGCCGAAATCCAGCCGTCCTTCTCTTCAGCAGATGTGTGTGATGCTAGAGAGCCGCGGGTATCATCGACCGGTCGAGACGAGCGCGTTGTGGCGGTCCTGGGGCGTTGTTGTGGTCGCGGCCGCAGAGAGCGGAGTCGCGGTCGTGGTGTCGGGCAGGGGAGGGCGGGTCGAGGGTGCACTTACACGCGAGGCTCGCGGACGCGGTGCGGCTCGCAGAAGACGTGTCGGGGACGGCTGATGGGGGTGCAAATGGCGATGTTGATGTTGGTGGTTGTGGTCGCGGGCGAATGGGGGAAACGCGAAGCCTGCGAGGCGTGGGGTGAAACGTCGAGGGAAAAAAACAGGAAGTGGTGAGCATTGGGGAGGAAGAGAAAAGGGAAAAAGAAGGGCGCCAGTGAAAAGCGGTCCTGGCCCGCTTGGCCCGTTCGGCCCACGGTGCCTCCGCATCCCATCTCCTAGGCGCTGCGCAGGCCTCCTCACCCTCCTCCACCCGCCACGACTCCGTCCAGCCCAGGAATTCCACAACCGCGTCGGCCACCCGCGACTTTGTACTCGTTGAGCTCGCCACGCCCGGGGCTCTCGATTGAGCACTCAAGCACTCGGTAAGAATTTGATTTGGCCTTCTTATGCTGGAATACGTCTGCTGCGGCGTCCGACCTCTTTCGGTAGGTCGTTTCTCGACAGTCGCCTCCTCGGGACCGGCTCCGGATGAGCACCGTTCCCCCCCCAGAGCACCTTTTCAGGCGCTTTAAAATGCCCGGCGAGCCCAGGGCTGCTCCTGCTCCTCGCCGCAATTTACTGGAAGCTTCTCCGATATGCATGGAGGCAGATACGTCGTGATATCAACCCCAGGCGGCCGGCCACGGCCGCTCCCGGTCTCCCGGCTCCGTGTAAGTGATTTCTTCATATACGTTTTCTACGACTTCCCTTGTGGTCAATTACGAAAGTGCATGGCTCATACTTTGCAGGATATGTGTCTGTTTTGTTCCTTCGTTTGCTCTCGGCAGACAATGGGTTGTGTCCAAGTGGCCCATGACCCCCGGTCCCCCTGCTCTGCCGTTAGCTCCATTCTCTCCTGGTACACTACCTCCTTGCGGTGGAGTCTGTGCTGCTGCTGTCAGCCTCCACGCACGTGAGTCGCAGCTCTTGATTGGTTCTCGTCGTCAGGGCCCCCACGGCACCAAGCGCCTCTTTTAGACTTCCCGCCTACTGGCCGTCATTCACTGGCACGCAGGAGTTTCGGCGACGGCACGGCCTTTATTGTCTTGTATTTCACTCATGTCACAACTTCCTATGTACGCGAGCGCGTCGTCGCTCGAGCGATTCAGGATGTAAAATACACCACCATGAAGCCTATCCAGCTGCCAAACACCCCCACGGCGCAGTAGGAGCTGGTGAACATGAGGGGGAGGAACTCGTACCGCTTCCCAAAGACGATCTGGTGAAGCAAGGAACAGTACAAAATCAGCGGGATGCTGATTGCGACGTAGAACGTGCTGAATCTGTCGAGCAGGAAGACTCTCGCTTTTCGCGAGGCCGGCGCCAAGCGGTCAAACACCATGAGGAACAAGATCAGCCAGAAGACGGTGTACACCGTTTTGATCGGGAACTCAGCCGGTGTAAACAACAGAGGGAAGAGGGACACGTGCCCGGCTACGGCCAGGGGCCGAAAAGCGCTCAGGTGGCGTCGGTCCTTGAGCGCGATGAGACTGAACGGGATGATGACCAGCAGGACGGCCTTCTCGTGTACATGCCACCCGAAGAGAAACGAGGCATAGCCGCACAGGGTGACAGCTCCGATAAAGGCATCCCAGGTGGGCGGCGCCTGGAAGAACAGCTTGACCAGGGGAAGAGCCTGGAAGAAGAGCGTCAGGGCGAAGCAAGTGCGCGGGCTGATCTCGGGCAGGACGGCAAAGGCGGTGTCCCCCACGAGTCCCCTGGTTACACTGTTGATCGCCTCGGCCTTGACGGGAAGGTTGAAACGGGGCGCAACTGGCGGCTGTCAGCCTGGGCCGTGCACTTTTGGCGATCCAAGACTTACCATAGATGAGAAGACGGTCGGCAAAGGAGTAGAGCGCCCAGACGTTCGGGGCCCAGTAGGCATGGCAGAGACCACGCGAAAAGGGGAACAGCCGGCTGACCATCTGGGGGATTTGGCCCATGGCCACGAACGGGCCAAACGCGGCACCGAAAATGGCCGCGATGCCGGCGCCCAGCTTGACGCAGTTGAGGAACTGGATTCTGAAGATGGACTTGGGCGACAGGCAGTACGCGCGAAGTAAGAAGACGAAGTAGGCGGGCGCCAAGTACAGGTAGATGTGCTTCATGCACAGCAGCCCCGCGAACAGCAATCCGCTGCCCAGCAGGCCCGACTTGGTTCTGGCGAGGACGAGAGACAGGATGAGGATGCCGTACATGGCTCCGTTGTACTGAAAGTGGATGTGGTCAATGATGAGGAGGCCGGGCGACAGAAGAATGGAGATGGCGGCAGCTTGGGCAGCTCGTCTCGTAGCGCCCGTGGCAGAGTCGATGAACCTGTGCCGTCAGCATCCCACCCTCTCCCCACGCGTCGCGTACATGCAAAGGGCACCCACCTCTGAAGCGCGTAGACGAGGACCAGCTCGGATACGATGACGGTCCACCGCTGGAAATAGACCGTCTGCCAGCTATCGTACTCGAGGTTGTAGACCTTGACCATGGCCGGGTCGACAAGCCTCGCGACCTGGGACATGACCCATTCGAAGTAGGCGAAAAAGGGGGGATAGTCGAGGGTCCATTCCGACGTCTTCTCGTAGTACCAGTCAGACAAGGGGAGGCTATTGGTGATGGCGAGCCAGTTCCGGTGGACTTCAAAGTCGGTGGATTTGCTGCGCGACGTGTCAGTTGCGGTGGCTTCTGGGTCGGAGGGCGGTCCACGTACTAGGCCGGGAAGAGGAGAACTTTGAGTGCGCCGGCGACAAGCGCACATTGGGTGAGGGTCGGGTACGATTCGGCCATTGTGGCGCGTTCGGGTTCGGATCAGGGGGACGTCCGCATTGAACTGGGCGGTGCCGTGAGAGCTTGTGAGAGCTTCGGTCGGACGCTCACCTGCTGCTCTCTGGCGGGAGGGAAAATCACAGGCCACCTTCGCTCTCTCTCGACAGGGGTCCTACTCACAGAGCTGCAGGACCCTACGGTACCTACCTAGGTACAATTAGGTAGGTATGGGGGGTTTTTTTTTACGAGAAGTGGGTCCGTGCAGAAATCGGAGACGCGACGGGGGGAAAGGCCACTTCAACTTGTTCCTGTGGCGTTTTCTGGGGAAGCCACGAGACGAGCAGCCACAGAAGAAGCGGAGCTGGGAAGCTTCCCTTCCCCCACTAGTAGTACCGGTAGGTACATACGTACGTACGTATGTGACGAAAGGACCTGGGCGGCGGTGAGCCTCCAGAGCCCCTTCCAATTCCAGCTCGGGCCATGCCGTTCCAGGCTGTTTTGTTGGTGGAGCGGGTTCTCTTCGTTTCGTGAAGGATTCCAGCGAACGGCTCAGCGAAGCAGAATCCGAGCTTCATGTTTGGACTTAATCATCACGAGACGAGAGCGAGCCTAAGACAATGCCCAGAATCTTCTGCGTCGGTCCTGGTTGCATTGTTCCTTTTTGATATATTGTTTCCTGCCAACTGCCTCCATCTGCTCTAGGAACCCAACGCCGTAGAGTCAACTTCCAGAAAGGGTAGCCAGCGGCCCCCAAAACAGAGGAGCTGTACAGAGTAGCTGCGGATGGTACTTGACGCTTTTTTAGTGCCAACCTGTCCTCAACCCACGCATCGACCCCTGCTTGGAGATTCTCGTACTTGGCGAGTTTCCAACCATCTCGTGCCCACGCAATTTTTTGGTTCCCGACGGTGTCTGCAACTTGTTCTTTTTTTTCCCTTCATTCTGCCCGCATTGCAGGACCTTGCCTTCTTTTCTTTATTTCTTGTTTACAGTTCGCCGATCCCGGGGGCAATACGACCGGCTTCGTCAACGCACTTGATACCTACTCCCTCTCCCAAAGATAGCCGCCGTACCACCTCGGATTCAGCCACAATGCGTGTGTCGCAAGCTCCCCTGAGCTCGACGCTCGCCTTCTTGCTCGGCGCGAGCTTGACACAAGCCCAGTACCTGATCAATGAGCTCAGTTTTGGATACTCGGGCAGGTAAGCTGCTCGACTTCCCGCGCGCCCACCTCCCTTTGAGAGCTCCGGCTGACAACCGTAGCATATCGCCCAACAACGACGGCCATATCCCCAACTTTGTTCTCCAGGGCCAACCGAACCAGCCCGAGGTTCTTTCCAACAAGATCATTCTCACGCCGGTCGCGCCCGGGAACCAGCGCGGTTCCATCTGGAGCACCCAGAAGGTGATGCACAGCAACTTCATCGCCGACATCGACTTCCGTGCCAACGGCCCCGAGCGCGCAGGCGGGAACCTCAACATCTGGCTCACCAATGGCGGCTCCATCGACGTTGGTATGAGCTCCGCCTACACGGCGCCCCGCTTCGACGGCCTCGTCCTCGTCATCGACGGCCACGGCGGCACCGGCGGCATGGTGCGCGGCTTCTTGAACGACCACTCGACCGACTACAAGGCCCAGAGCGACATCAGCGCCCTCGCCTTCGGCCACTGTCAATACCACTACCGCAACCTCGGCCGCCCCAGCCAAATCAAGCTGCGCCAGACCGACCGCGCCTTCAAGGTCGAGATCGACGGCCGCCTGTGCTTCGAGACCGACAAGGTCAAGATTCCTCCCGGCTACACCTTTGGTATCACCGCCGCGAGCGCCGACAACCCCGACTCGTTCGAGATCTTCAAGATGGTTGTCATGTCCGACAACCTGCACTCTAGCGACAACGGCCAGCAGCAGGCACACGAGCAAAAGGCCAACCAGGGCGAGCCGGGCAGCAAGAACCCGCGCAGCGGCAACCCCGACCCGATTGGCCTCGAGGAACTCCCCGACGCCAGCCCCGACTCCATCACGTCGTCGCGAGCGCAGTTTGCCGACCTGCACAACCGCCTGCAGTCCATCAACCACCAGATCGGCACCGTCTTCCGCGCCCTCACTCAATACAGCCAGCACGGCGAACACCGCCACGAAGAGACGTCGCAGATTCTCGACTCGCTGCGCCAGGAGCTGCGCAAGCTTGAGAAGATGAATGACCTCGAAGGTCGCATCAATGGGCTCGAGCGCGAGGTCCGCGGCATGCGTACCGACCTGAACCTGCAGATGAAGAACACGGAGCACTCCCTCCAGAAATACATGAGCGACCATCATGACGCGCTGGCGTCCCACATCGTCAACACTACCCCCGGGCACGGCAAGCTCATCGCCGTCATTGTTGGGTCCCAGGTCGTCCTCGCTGTCGGGTACCTGCTGTACAAGAGGAGAAAGAACTCGATGCCCAAGAAGTACTTGTAGAGGGCGCCGATAACAAGGGATTCCCATAGAGTAGGGCGGCGCGTGGGGAGGCTGTCTTGTATAAAGTGTGCGCGTCGTGTTACCTAGGCTCAAGGAGCCACGATGTTTGGGCTGCGCCAGGGGGGGGGGGGGGGATGTCAGCTATGCTGGTATGGCTCTTGTACGATTTGTGGGGCGAAACAAGGCAAAAGGGCACATTCGGGGAGTTTGCGGCGGGCTTCACCGTAAGGGATGGTTGGTGGGTGTGGTGGATGTCAAAGTAAATGATTGAAGCGAAAATGTTTTTACAGTTCAACCAAATTCAGCGTCACATATGTGTTCTGGTGACTTGTCACGGTGAGATGCGGTGGTTCCGCAACAGCTGGCACACTATCGGCGAAGTGGCCTCTCGGGCCAGCCGGACGGGTACAAAGTAGACTCGCCCAGAGAGCAGCCGTCCCCAACCTCCACCCCGCCAGCGCTTTGGCTCCTGCGTGACATGCCTGCCAACTGTTGTCCCCTTTGCTCAAAGCCATCGCCCGTCCGCCGCTGACGTTCACGGCCAAGGTTGGTTGAACCAGGATGAGTGGCACCTTCAGCAAGGTAGAGAGCGGTCGCCGAGGGGGCGCGTGTGCGCTGGGCTTGGTAGAATCTGGCCCGTCTCAAGACACTGTCCTGCTCATCGAGCGGGAAGCGAGCGCGCCTCTCGCTTCCGCATCGTCCTGCCCTGGTACAAGCCAACACGTCTAGAACGGTAGCCCTTGGCACTCCCACAGCTCGACACGAGGGATTACTGTGTCGAGACACCCCGTCTCAGCCAGAGGCAACGAGGGCCTTGCAAGGCCAGTGAAGACAGATGAAGCAATCGTTCAAATCGCTTTCATTCTCCAAGGTATATAGAGAAGCAAATCGTATAAAAACACGTGCAAATGTCCACAACAAACCCACCAGCAAGCATGATGAACCGACAAACCCAGGAAATGCACACCGCTCAAGTCACAGACGCCCCCCTCCCCCCCCCCCCCCCCCCCCCCCCGGCGCGGGCGCGCGCTAGACTACGCCTTGCCGTTGATGACCCTCACCAGCTCATCCCCCTTGGGCGCGCCGGCCGAGAGGTTTTCGTACCGGGAATCCGTCACGAGGATGTCGTCCTCGATGCGCACGCCGCCGACGCGGTAGTACCGCTCCAGCACCGTCTTGTTGATGAAGCGTGCGTGCCTGGGGTTGCTGAGAAAGTAGCCCTCGATGTACTCCCGACAGAAGTAGCTGTGGATACGTTAGCCGTGTGGGCCGCGGACTCGACTCCCACCCTACACCACTGGGGCCGATTGAGATGTCGAAAGAAACCGACAAAGCGGAGAGAAAGTGGGGGAAAGGGGCCACTCACATGCCAGGCTCGACCGTCACAATCATGTTCTTCCGCAGATACTGCCGCCCCTTATACGGCGGCGGCGCCGCCCCCACGGCACCCAGCGCGGAAGCCTGCACCATGGCACCCAGCATCTCGGGCGTGACCACCTCCCTCTTGCCTACGCGGCCCCCTTGGCCGCCCATGACGTTGTTCAGCAGCAGCAGCCTCTCCCGCCCCGAGACATCGTGGACCTCGAGTCCGACATGGTGTCCCAGGCCGTGCGGGAAGAAGGCGGCGACGGTGCCCGCGTCCCAGACCTCGGCCGGGTCGCCCTTGAGGACGCCCAGCTTCAGAAGCCCTTGCTGCGCAACCCTGCTCGCGTGGATGTGCAGGTCGAAGAACAGGGTGCCCGGGCGGATTAAGGAGATGCACTCGTCCTGCATCCTGGCCACGATGTCGTACACCGCCCTGGCCTCGGCCGAGAACTTGCCCGAGATGGGCAGGGTGCGGGTGATGTCGCTCGCGTAGCAGTGCCACTCGCAGCCGGCGTCGAAGACGACGACCTCCCTCCCCTCGAGCGGCTCGTTGTTGGCGTCGTAGTGCAACGTGCTCGCGTTCTTGCCGCTGCCGGCAATGATGGCGTACGCCTGCTCTCTCGCGCCGGAGGTCGTGCACCACGCCTGGTAGACGGCCTCGATCTCGCTCTCGTTCTCCAGCCTCAGGAGCTTCTCGGCGACCCGGCGGTGCGCCAGTGCCGAGACGGCCGCGGCCTTGCGGATCATGGCGACCTCGTAATCCGTCTTGATGACACGCGCCTGGTCCATGGCGGGCTGCAGCGACGTCACGTCGATGCGCACCTCGGCGGCGGACTGCAAGAAGTCGCCGTGCAGTGGCACCTGGTCGGCGTGGATGACGTACAGCGTCGAACCGGGCGTGAGGTGGCGGTACAGGAATTTGTTCAGCTGGGTCGTGTAGCGCACGTCGTCGACGTCGAACTGCTTCAGGCACTCGGAGATGCCGGGCGTCGAGCCGAACCAGAGCACCTGACGCGGCTCGACGTAGGGGACCCAGAGGATGAGGCGGTCCGAGGCGAGCTCGTAGGTCACGGCGCAGTCAGCGAAGTTGGCGCCGCTCAGGTAGTAGAAGCTGCTTGCACGTCAGTGGCCACCGAGTGGCTGGCTAGTAGCCGGCAGGCTCGGGACGTACTATCGCCGTTGCCTAAAGGCCGGTCCCATATCCGAGTCCTCGTAACTACGGCTCGGCTCGCCGGGCAGGAAGACGAGGCCATCGCTGGCGTTGAGTTCCGCGGCGACCTTGCGGGCGTGGAGTTTTGCTTGTCAAGTCAGCACACTCCATTATCAGCGGCATCACACAGAGAGCGCCAGCGTCACATCATCGAGCTACATCAATGCAACAGTTCGAGAACAGCGCGGATGCGTACCGGGAAATCTGGCCGGGATCGGCGCGACCGACACTACCGAATCAATCGGCGCGGCCCCCGTCTTCACCTCGATGGACCTTGCGGCGCAGACACGTTAGTGAAGGATGCGGAGCCGGAGAGGGGACGGCACCGTGTTCGTGCCACGGGCACGAGGTTAGGCCCCCCCGGCGAACAGTCACGCAATGATGTCCACCTACAGCGCATCAAACTCGTCCACCTCGACGACATCGTGATCAACGACAGTCTCCATGGTGTCACACGGTTTCCGGGGCGGGGTTCTCCGGATCAGTCAATGTTGGGTGGCGTTGGCCTCGGGCAGTTCTATATCAAGAGTGCTCGGTGGATATGCCGCAACAAGGCCGTCCGTCTGCTGCTGACAGGTACGAATCCAATGGGTGAGATGATGCGGCTGGGATGGCGCTTGCGTGGCGTGGCGGGTTTGGTAAGCAGGCCAAGTCTCTTCGGAGATATCTCAAATGCCGGAAGGTTGCGGATTTAGCATGTTCACGCGCGAGTGTTTGTTTGGTCGGAGAGGGCGAGATTCGGGACGGTGGAGGGCGGCAGGACAAGAGGTGCGTGTGTGTGTGTGCGTGTGTGTGAGGAGGGGCTGAACGCGCTGAGGATGACGTCCGGTAGGCGTTCTCTGATGGGCTCCAGTCGTGTGTGCGTTTGTTGGTGACCGGCCTAGCGCAAGGCTCCGCTTCTTCGGTGCTTCCGAAAGTACCGGTCGCAGGCTGCAGCGGCGGTGCGGATAACGGGAGGGGGGGGGCAGGTATCCTATCTACCTGCGTCGTAATAGTGCTTCTTCTGTCAAGGTCCTTGCCGCAGAGATGGCTTCGTCCTGGCATGTGGCGCCTAGAGAAAGCCGGGGCCTTGCTCGGTGCCGAAGCGGCGAGTGCAAGTTCCTATAGGGGGATGTGGGCCCCGCAACGTGGCTCCGATAGGGATTTAGCGGAGATATCCATCAAGCCCTGCCGTTCTTGGTGTCGCCTTCAATGTGGAGATGCTGAGGAGCCTTCCACACTCCATCCCGTTCCTGTGAGTCGGAGTAGTCTACTACTATCGAGAATAAAACCGAAAGAATCAGGCCGAGGTCCAACCAGCTCGCGCTCAGGGCCTCAATTGGTATGGGTTTGTTGCTCACAATAACCCCACCGCTCCCTCTGCCCCAGCCATGGTCTCCATCGTTGCTCAACCGCAACGGTCTGGGTACCGCCCGTCTACCGTGTCCTCGGCGGAGCTACACGGTACGCCGGCGGTCATTGCACAATGCCCGTGGTAGGTAGCCAGCCATACATACTATTACCGAGTACGCTCCAAGCCAGGAATTCAATCGTGAACGGAAAATACGAAACGACTACCAATGGCGTCGGCGACATACCTGCCTTGTCGCACCAGCCCCATCGTTCGCTCACATACGGGGTCTATTCCCCCTGCTCCTCCCCATCACTGCGCAGGTATACATACAATGTACGAATACACACACACGTACCTACTTGGAAGAGCTTGGCCCCGCAGCCCGTCCATCGCGCTATACCGTACGGATACCAACCCTCCTTCCCTACCCCTTCGGTCCTACACGCCGCTGCAATGCGCTGCGACCTGCACTCCATTCGACGGCGGCTGCACCCTTGGGACCGTTTGTGTTGCAAGTGGGTGTCGTGACGGAAGCCCCCCCACCCTTGGAGCACTTTTGTCTGCGCCCTTTATTGATCCCAACCCCACACCGTCACACCCCCGTGTCTGCTGCGCATCTACACTAGGCAAATCTCACATCCAATTGTATCCAATTGACCAATATGCTAGCTGCCAGGACAACTAAAATAAATACAGAGTATGCATGTGCTCGTCGGTGCATTACGTCGTACGCAGACGGCTCCAGCGTCTATCCGAGCTCCTGTGAGCCTCCCCCGCCGAGCCACGATGCCAGATAAATTTGTGTACACTTGAAGAATCCCCGTCAGAGGGACGACCGGAACGCCTAAAACTGATCCGACCGCCTTGTCCCTTTCCTCTTGAAACCCCCTTTCCAAAGTAGATCGCACCCTGAGCTTGCAGGGCTCTAAATAAATGCTGGGTATCACTTGAAGCGAAATATGTCTAAAGGCCCTGAAATCCGTTTCTGGCGAGCATCCCCGCCCAGTTGTTTTGGTAGCCCGTCTCGGCTAGCATCCGGTCAATGTCTCCAGTCCGCTGCTGCTGCATGTACACTCGGCGTGCGTGGTCCAGTCTTGTCGCGTCGGGCATGCCCTGGTACCCGGAGGGCTGGTATATGCTTGAAAGTTCGTATCCGGGTTGATGATGCTGCTGCGGCCGCTGCTGCTGGCTCTGCCCTTGCAAGAAGTAGGCGGGCGACTGGCCAAGAAGCTGAGTGTCGATATCGTCGAATGCGCTGGGCATCATGAACGTGGATGCATCCTGCGGGCCGCTGACGTTGTTCGACCCCGGCCCCTTTTGGAAGCCCAGCTCCATCATGGGTTGGTTCGGGTAGGCGAAGGGATCCTCTGACGGGAACATGAGAGAGTCGAGCTTGTTGATGTGGTTCATGTTGTGTGGCGGCGGGAAGCCCTGCGGCGGCGGCCGGTTCGAGCTCGCAGACGTGCTGACCGAGTCGGGGGTCGCCCGCGAAGACATGTCCATGCCTAGCAGGTCCTGGATGTTGCCTGCGAGGGACGGGTCATGAAATCCTGCTTCTGAGACGGGGACACCGTCAAACGAGGCGCGGAGTGACGGCTGAGACATCCGTCCGCTGGCCATGACTGCACCGGGAGACCGGCTTAGTTCTTCGGATCGGCGTTGCCCCATGCCCGGCTGCAGGGCCGGGTGTCCGTGGACGGGTACGGAGCTGGCCTTTTGCCCAGGTGCTGATCGCTTCTTGGTAAGGATTGGCCGAGACTTGGCTTCCCGGAGCCTCTCGGGTAACTGTTCGAACAAGACCTGCGTACGTCAGTATACCTTTCGCCAAGACGCCCGCTACTTGGGGCAGTGACTTACGTTGAGGGCATCTGTAACCCTGTCAGCGGCTTGACTCTTGGACCGCAGTTTGGCAACCATGTCTCTGCCCGCCATGGCATCCTCCAACACTTCGGCGGAACCGATCTTTTCGGGGTTCTCTATCGAGTAGAACACGAGAGATAAGATGGCAAAGAACTCGGTGAATAGCATGAACCAGTACGGCCCCGCCAACACGTTTTGCTTGCGGATCTCAATGCCAATGTGGACAATGTTCCGCGAGACGCTGATACAAGCCGCCGCGCACGCGTAAGAATGCTCGTCGATATTCTTCCCTGTGCCGAGGCGGGGAGAAACGTAGTGCAGAAACGGGCGGTAGAGAACAAGCTGTACGTGGGCGTAGGCGAACCTCAGCAGGTGGCGGACGCTGTTTTTCCCCCCCGGTCAGCTTGGTCAGGCTGGGGGCGGATGAAGCAGTGTCCTCGAAATATCAAGAACTCCCATACTCAGGAACACTTACCGAATCACCTCAACAGGTCCATCAGGCCTGGGCCGCCACTGCGAGGGCAGAACCTCGTACCACTCCTGCAGCTCTGCCTCGATCTGCTTGATGCTAGAGTAGCTGATCAGGTAGGTCGCACCCGGCTTGTCCCCCTTCATGACACTCTGGCCGAGCCCCTTCAAGGGATAGACGAACTTGAGGATCTTAGCCAAGATCTCCATCAAGCGGGTGTGTGCGTTGAACGCCTCAAAAAAGGAGAATGTTCCAGGAGGAGGAGTCAGGATGCCCTCGTTTGTAATGTACTCGTCGTCAATTTCGCTGGGGTACGGCTGATCAATGTCCTCGGCGTTGAGCATCAGCGGGAAGCCGAGCATGGCCGAAACGTAAATATCCATCTGCCGGATGACCCAGAACACTCGCTTCCTAACCTCCTGCTCGATTATGGAAATCTTCTCGTGCTTCAGATACCTGTGCAGGCCGATGCGCAGGGCTGACCGCAGTGCGATTCCCACAAACGCGTAGCATCCACTCAGGTTCGAGGTGGCTTGCAGGAAAAGAATCATAAAAAGAAGTGCCTGGAGGGAGATTAGGTCCCGGCATTCGGTAATGTCCTGCAAGATCCGCCTGGCGTTGTCGTAGTACTTCATTCTGCGATATGTTAGCGTGAGGCTTGGGCGCGAGGGGGGCTCCCAGCGCGTACCCTTCGTCGAGCGACTCCTTATAGGCCACAGGAGGAGCGGTTGCGTCCAGGTTTCTGTACATGCAACCAAGGGCCATGACGGCGTAGAGGAGGCCCAGGAAGTTGTGTTCCTCCTTTGAAAAATCCTCGTAGGGTTTTTGGTATACTTGGTCAAGCATTTGGTAAAAGGACGGAACGTGCACTATACGAATCAGGCACGTTGCGCAGTTGAGTGAGAGGTGGCAGAGCCTCCTGGCCACTTCCTTCGGGGGGAGCTCAGGAGCGGTGAACATGGCCGGGTCGAAGGGCGAACTGGCGGCCGATGCTGAAGAGTCGATGTTGATGAGACCAGCCGGTCTTTCTGGCCGTGGCAGAAACGGCACTTTGGTTTCCGGGCCCATCAAGCCCCTAAAGTGCTCCTTCATCCGCCGCAGAAAGACTGCGCCGGACGACACGCCGTGGAAGTCCCAGCCGCCCTTGTCGTCCAGGTCCAGCTGGCCGATGGACTCGATCATGGACAACAGGTGAGCGTCCTCCTTCTCGGCGCTGACGTAGGGGTCGTGCCTCAGCTTGGTGGCCTGTACCCTGGCGTGCTCCCTGTTGCGGAACTCTTGCTGGACGGCGGGATCCAAGGTGGGATCAGCCAGGTCTACGTCCGGGACGAACTTGCGCAGAAGGGTCTCGGCGCGCTGCAGACGGCTCTCCAAGGCCTCAATGTACTGAGGAGCCGGGTTCCTCCGCCTGTTTGAGGGCTTGTCATATGTGCATTCTGGACAAGGTCAGTCTATCTGGATGCCTTACGAGCATGGAGGAACCAACCATAACTGTAGACGGAGCAGTGCGTGCACGGCTGTTTGCCGTCACATTTGATTTTCTTACGTCTGCACTCGTCGCAAGCTCTGGTCACACGACGACGCTTCTGCACTGGGACGCTGCCAGGCTCGCCAGGCTTCTCGTCCATTTCAGAGCCCGAGTGCACGCTGCCACCCGGCGAGGGCGGCTCCTTGACAGGCCAGCCGTTGGCGGAGGGCGCCGCAGACTCATTGTCCGACATGTTGGAGTCCGGGGGTGAGTGGTCAGCCTTGGCAGGCTGAGATGGAGGACTCATTCGCGCCGCCGGAACGGGAGAAAAGGGTGAGAAAATGGGAGGCAAGTGGTGGGTGGTAAAGATGGTGGCAGAAGTGAGCGTGGCTGGTTGGTGGTTAAGCAACCGGTTCTCGGTGTAAGTGCAGTTACGGAGGATGAGTGCTTTGCATAGTTGACAGTCAAGGGTCGTTGTCCGATTAGCCAACCCGGCAGCTAGGAACGGCTTTTCGGACTGAGCAACTCTTGGATATGAGAAGAACGAAACGGGTGCCAAGACTTCGTGGGGGATAGGAGGAAGATAAGTTTAAACAAAACGGGAGGACAAGAGGAGGAGCCGGGGGATCTTTTGCCTTGTTGCTGGGCCTCGTCTGGGTAGCAGCAGCTGGGGGTGTGGAAGGCCCTTGTTTAAGGCCGAGCAGGGTACGGTGCGGTGCGGTGCAGGGCAGGTGTAAGTCTCGCGCAAAGCTGAGCGCGCAAGATGAATTACGTAGCGGGCAGGTAGCGTCTCGGCCGGGGGTGGATGAGACAGGCAGAGTACGCGACTCGAGGGTACGGAAGATACCGTCTCGCACGGTGCAGTCCCAGTAGCGTGGTCGAATAGTGCATATGCCTCAGTACGTATTTGACACACGGGGAGGGGAGGGGGGGGCAATTAGGCTACGATCTGGCGGACAGCGGGTAGAGCACCCTCCCCTGGTGATGATAATAGTAGTGGCGGTGGTGGTGGTGGTAGTGGTGGTGCTGCTGCTGCGTACCTATGTTACTGCTATATGTTGTTGGTGCTCGCTCTCTACCTATACTATCTACTTGGTAGTGCGTAAAAGGAGGGGCGTGTGTGTACCGGGAATGTCACCAGCAGCAGGTAGCGCGGCGGGTAGGGACAATAAGAGAGGGAACGGGGGCAATACGAAACCGTCGCAGAGGGGATGGGGAAGCTAGGACGAGAAAGGCGATAGGGATCGGTACGAGTAGTGGAAGGGGAGAGCGAGGACCCAAAGAGTAGCAGGGGCGGGCCGTAAGGCAAGATCAGTAGCCTACTTTCACAGTACAGAGCAAGCAATAGAGCGAGAGAGATGGCCTGCAAGAGCAAGGCGAGCAAAGATGCAGGTCAGCAAGAGAGCATAATTCTCAGAGCGGCCGAATGCCATATGCATATGTCGTAGCGCGCGTGCTTCCCTAGGGGGTGGGCGGAGCCAAGAGAGGGACAAGACTTTTGAGACAGGGAATGGGGTGGAACCGCGCGAGCAACGCAGTGGACCAAAAAAAAAAGGGCCCAAAGGAGGGAGGGGGCGTACTTGCAGGGGGGAGGGGACGGGTCACAAATGGAAGCTCGGTTGACGCGCCCGCCTCCGCGATGAGCAGCAGTCATTGGTCTCTCGCAGTATAGATGGCGGCGAAAACTGTAGATGCGCAGAATCGTCGGGTGCGCGGCGAGGCATGTGAGTAACAGGGCGGAGAAGACGGGTGAGCTTATCTCACTCGAACCGAAGGCATCGCAGCCGTGAGTAAGTAGCAATGGCTAAGTGAGTAAGCGAGAGAATGGCTGCGTTGGGCGTTGTGAGGTAGGTGCAGGTAGGTTATGGTGCGCACGCATGTATGTTTTCCGCTGGGAGGAGTGGGAGGAACGAGGGTACCATGTCCAGCGTGCGTACTGGAACTGCGCGGAAAGCCAAGACAAAACAAAAACGGACGAAGAAAAAGCTCAGGATGCACGACCTGACACCTGCACATTGACGTTTGGCTCTGTCCAGGAGGGAGTATCCCGACAGCACGAGCACCCGGGGTCTTGGCCGTCGGAGTCGAACGAGAGTGCTTGTTTCCGTGTCAAAGGCTTTCGTTCTGGCGGGCGGCCTTGATGTACCCAGGTATCTTCTATCTTTGGCCAGCTCGAGCTAGGTAGGGTCAAGTCCGAGTAGACTAGTCATCTTCTGGTGCCGTGTGTGCAATTATTGGAAGTGGAAGGTTCTTTTGCAAATGGGCGAAAAAGGAGGCCTGACTGACTGGCGTGAGGAGCGCGGCATCTCGTCTGTGTGACGAGACAGCCCCCCTTCCCCCTCGGCACAGCGAATACAGTCTATCGGTGCCGACAGGGACAAGTGTCCGAGGCAGGGCACATGCTGGTATGTGTGTGGTGATGCCCGTTACAAGCAGTAGACTTGCGATGTACAGTTGGTGGGTAAAATAGCCCCCCTAATCCCTAATAGTAGGATACGTGCAAAATTGCGGCCGGGCGGGAGGGCCACGGGGAGTGAGTCGAGCGAGCAACAAGCAGCATCGGGCAGGTCCCTTCCCTTGCTAGGCAAGCGGGCTTGACTCAAAAGAGGATGAAGAGTTGGGATAAAAAGAGAGGAGAGCAAAAAGCGGGGATTTCTCGGCATGGGAATGCAAGCCCGTCTTTTGACTCGTACACACTACTATGTAGCCGGTGACGCGAAGCAACGCCGCTGGGGGCGTGGACGCGGACATGGGCCGTTTCCACTCGTGGAACGGATGCTAATGCATGGAATCGACCTTTACATGTCAGCCAGTCGCGACGTGCAAGGCCATGCCTGGAGCTCCGACGTGGTTGGTTCAATCGGTACCCGTCTTGGTGCTGCCGTCTTGTGGATTGGCGAAGGGAAAAGAAGGAAAACAGGCGGCGCGCATGCAGGGTAGAACCGGGGGTACGTATGCCTCTTTACCCTTTCTGTATTTCAAAATGTCTGCGGAATCTTGCTTGAGGCCAACCGTTGGCTCGAACCTGCGTACCCGCCACAGCACAGCACAACACACCACAGCAGACCGCCACTGACTGAACCATCCCGCCCGGCGGCGTCGTCGTCCGGCAGATCCATGGCGTCCAGCCTCCCACCACGATCCCACCAGCGACCGCCGTGGTGCCTCGGGCCACTGGGTAGGCAGCCGACAGGAAGGGAGATTTGAGATTTCCCGCGTCGCTTACACAGGTAGTGTACACGTACCGGTAGTATCCGTCGACAAGGACGCTTTGTCTTTTGCGGCTTGCCCTACTCGCTCCAACAATTGCCTCAACGCCGGGGTCGGCGCGATGGGGTGGGCGATTCTCAGTCAACGCTGACTTATTGAACTTAGAAGTCGGGAGGGGACCTGGACCCTCCACCAACAGAATAAGTGGTATGCAATTGAATCAAAGACGCGTCCAGGGGGGCCCTCGTCCGGCGTTCGGCCAGGGACCCTTTGTTATGTGTGGCTGTGATCAGCCCAACGCAAGGGCCAAAGAAAAAGAATGAAAAGTAAGAAAGTTCAGAAAAGGTGAGGTGATGGTTTGAGGTCGCTCGTGTTGAGGGACGGCACTAGCACAGGCCCAGTTTCCAAAGTGTAAGGACAGAGCTTGCTGCTTCAAACGGTCTGGGTTGAGCCTGAACCCTCGCAATGGAGCTTTCGGCGTTCGGGCCACCCGATACCAGTAGCTTCCAGTCTCGTCACAAGCAATCCGACGACGGCATCAATCTGCGATTGCCTTTCCGTCTGTAGTTAGATTCTCGTCTCTACATCCTCCTGTGTGCGCCGTAGTCGCCCCCAGGATTGGAATCGAGTCGAGAGCTCAGCGCATCCTTTGTTGGAGGCAGGAGCCGAGGGCAAGAAGACCAGGTGATAGGGGGCCAAGAGCCAATAAAGCACAAGGACGCCGAGGATGGCCGCTTGGCCTTGCATTGTCATGAAGCAAGCAGGCTGTAGCGCAAGTGACTTTTACCCCCAAACACGGCCTAATTTTTTCTCCTTTTCTTTTGACCCGCCTCGCTCCTCGCTCTCCCCCAGAGTGACCTTGGGCCTCCGGTGCAGTATAGTCCTGTCCTCCTCCCCCTTCTCTACCCACCCTCTCCTACGAATGCAGAGCGGTGGGATCGAAGACGCATGGAATATTCGACACGGTCGTTGGTTTGTGGATTACCGTCGCATAGTGGACGGGACGTTGTCAAAATGGGCCGCGTGCCGCCCTACAGACCGAACAGGGCCCAGGGCTGAGGGAGCGAGGAAGTTTTGAAGGCTTGGCATCCGTCATTGGGGACGCGTCTGTGGTGTATTTCGACGACAAATTTTCTCTTTTTGCCAGAGTGCTGCTCTCAGATTGGCGTGATTGGGAAGAGAGCCGAGTCCCCCCTGGTCGCTGTTCGAGGGGGTGTGGGAAGGGGGGACGCTTGGGTGCTTGGACGGGGGTGGTGCACAGAAGGAAGGGAGTGTGTGTGGAGGACCTCTGAGGAATCACACACCGCATCTGTCGCCGGCGGTCGGGGTCTTTGAGCCAAGCACGAAGCCCACCTGTCGCTCCCACCGAAACGCGTCAGCCCAAGAGCGGGGGGTGCGTGGGTGTACACCAGAAGGCAAAGAGCTTCCTGGGTCCTGAAGTCTTGGCATTCTCGATTTCCATCGTTTGCCAAGACTTCCACCCCGCTCCTTCGCGCTTGCGCTTGTCTTGACAACATGCATCGAATTGCTGAGAGCCTCAGATGGATATCATGATATCTGGATGCTCCCAAGTGTCTGCGTTTTTCTCGTGGTTTTTCCGCTGGCAGAACCGTCCAAAAACCATCGCAGTCGGCTCGCTGACCAGGCCGAGCACATGCCCCACGAGTGAACGGATGTCAGAAACCAAGGAAATGACCACGTTGTCCTCTCTTCCCCTCTCGCTCTCTTTTTTTTGATTTTTTTTTTTTTTTCCCTTGCGCGCGCCCCCTCCTTATTTCCGCACAACTCGTTGCAAAAAGGAGAGAAGTCTCAATGCATGTGTTAACCAATGGGGACGTCTCGGGTGTGATCTTATGGGTCGCACTGTCCAGAGAAGTCACCCCTCCGGTGAGCAAGGGAAGGCACACCCAAGTTCCAAGTTGGGACGGGAAAACCGCTTACGCTACCAAAGTACGGAGTACCTAATAGGTAGGTAGATTTCCCCGGCTACGTACCTAGGTACCTACCCTCCACCTGCAATCCGCAGCCCTAGGAAGTGAATGGAAAGGCAATCAAAGCACTGCGGGTGTATCTCCATCAGAGAGTCACTTGCCATTTTTAAATTCAAATCGCTTCAGATCTGTCCATCACGTCTATTCCTTCTTCGTCTAGGCCGCGTCGGAGAGTCAGCGTCCAAGGGGAAATGCAGACCTCTAGGACAGGGGGATCGGTCGCCCCACCGCAACGCTACAAGCAGGGAAACAACCACTACGGTTACAGTGTAATCCGCAGCGCTCACAGCGCTCGCTTTCTCGCTGTGAAGGACGAATGGCTCGACCGAGACAGGTCTTCCTGTCTCCATGCGCCCAAACCTCTCATGTCGCCACATCACACCATGGATACAATACAGTTCATGACTACCACTCACACAATAACCAAAAAACAAACTGCGTCTTTTCGATTACTGATTCGCCCTCGAAGCGCACCCAATCTGCCCGCGCGCACGCCCGGCTCCAATACTACCGCACTCGAGTGTCTCCGGGACCCTGACCCTGCGGCAGCCTTGCTATTCCCAGCCTGAACCTTGGGGCCGAACCAGACTATGGCACGGCGACCAAGACCGAGCCCCTCGTTCTGTCAACCTTTGTTCCGACGAGACAACCCAGCCTCCAGCAAATCAGGACGGCTATCAACATAATCTTGCACTGGAACCTCAAGGTTGCATCCGAGACTAGTCAGCAGGGATCTCTTGCTGTCTCTCCAACCCGCGCCAGTCGAAACAAGGCGCAAACCGGGCCTCGAGACCGGCCGCGGCCAGAACCCTCGGCGACAAACTCGTCGCTGAATGCACCAACCTGCCGCCGAGGAGTTTGGCCACGGGATATGGGCTGGCAATGATATGCTCATGTTCTGCAGTGAGTAGCCCAGTAGCACGACACTGGTCGACAACTGCTGCGTCCAACTGGAGAGGACACTCGGACAACTACCGACCCCTGCACATCTGTCAAGGTGGGTGCGTTCCATGTCTGTTCCTGGCTCGCACCTTATATTACCTTGCTCGGATGTCAGTCGTTTGTTTCCCTTGGGCATGCCGATGTGGGTTCTGCTCCAAGCCCTAGCCACAATGCTGGTCCTGGCCCGTGGCGGAGGAGCTGTCCTAACTCTTGAGCTAGTTGACCCAATGCCGTCGCCGCTTCCCCATCAACCAGCTCTTCTCACGCTCGGTCATCAGATGAATCAGTGCACCGGCGGGCCCAGGTCGCGAATGAAGTCCAGACCGCGGGGAGACTTCCTTGGGGAGGCCTCACTTACAAGAGGAAGCAAGATACGTGGGAGCTTACCACAGCAGACGGCTCCAGTCCACGTTGATGTCGAGAACGAGTGTCCAATCTGTCTAGTAGTAATCGGTTCATCCTCGCAGTCGAAGCGAGTAACCCCGACGACTCTGCCTATACTGAACGCATAAAAGGTAATTTCGTAACAACGATAAACGTTGCACAATTCTCTATTCTCGGTTCCGTCGGTCGCGCATTAGTGCGGAAAACCCAGGTGGCAGTCGATGGGATACATATCTAGAGATCCGGATAGTCAATCTACGACCAGTCAGTCGCCAAGACAGATGGACAAGATCCTTGTGATCGGCGCACTACCGTATCGTGCTACCGAATATCGACACAGAAATGCAACGAGATTCCTCGTCGCCTTTATTTTTATATTTGTGATACCTACGCATATCCTGGCTCGCCCCTCTTTGGCTTCTGTCTGCTACCCTACGTCGCTACGTTGCAGGGCAACACTGACAGAAGCGAGTTTGGTTCAGGTACTACTTCGAGACGAGGCAGACCAACCCCCCCTTTCCCCAATCCCTTTTTATTGAATTACCCCGCAATTGAATGGCCAGCTGTGTCACCACCAACACCACCTACCGAATGTCTTTAACTCTCATTCGCTGCAGACACCAACTTCCTGCCTGCCACCGGAGCCCATCGTCATTCACGCTTCTCATCGCACCCAACCCGTTGCATCGCTCCAGGATTGCCCAGCCACAACCGAATCCCGCGGTGTCCGTTGGTGCGACACAGAACGGCAGGGCCACCTACTCTTTCTTACCTTTGCAACCCACAACGATTCACACTCGACACGGCGACGCAGAAGCGACTGATCCCACGAGGTAAGTGACTGACTGACGCTTTCCCAATGTCTCCGAGCTCCTCCTGCCTGGGACCCTGCGCGGCCTAAGGCTGTCTTTTCCCAACTGTCGGTCTGCGGCCAACGAACGCACTTGCCGTACTCTCTCTCAAGGTTCAACAGACCAGAAAGCCCCCCCAAATTGCCATATCCCACACATTCCACCATTTACGGCCTTCTAACCCGTAATTGGCGACATCGGCCACCGCACCTCGTTTACTCGCCTAGACCCCGCCCCCCTAGGCCGTACTCCCCTCCGCGCCAAAGATCCCTCCCTTTCGTCGGTGTCACTGACATACGGCCTACCACTGGCCCCTGCTGACCATCGTCTGAGCAAGATTGGGCGGAGCTCGCACTGGTCCATCAACCGAGTCCCCTGACACAACATCGCAATCTCCATCATGGCTGCCGCCGGCGCAAGCGCCAACGTCGACTCCAACGCCCTGTTGGCCTTCTTCACGCAGATGGACGATCAGGGCGGTGTCATTGTCAGAGGTGCGTCGTCTGAGGCGTGCCGGCGTCCGGGCCGAGCTTCGACTCAGCATTCCCCCTTCCTATGTGATCGTCTTGAATACGAACCTAGCACCAAGACGCGCGGCCTGCTAACGCTGCTGTCCCTCTTTAGATACCCCTAAGCTGGATATTGATTTGTACATCCAGAACTATGAAGGTATGCATTGCTCATCACCCCGTCTCAACCTTGTTTCTCCTAAACTGCCCCTCCCTGCCCACAAACGCACGCACAGCCTCTCCGCGTCTCCGCTCCTCTTGCCCGCCTGCCAAGGCTCCGCCGCTTCCCAAGAGACAACTTCTAACCACCACTACAGGCCGTACCCGCTTTGAACGTCTCTTTCTCATCGGCCGGACGTGCGTGCCGCTCTGTGTTGACGCTCTGAAGGCTGCAGTCGCCGAGGCCAAGGCGGGTACAGATGTCCAACGTTACCGGGACGCCTTTGAGTGCATTCACATCGCCGCCCCCAATGAGCCAGAGGCCCAATTCGACCAGGAATGGGTCGAGAACACGGAGAGGGCCAACAAGGCCAAGACTCATCAACTCGAGAGCGAGCTGAAGGGTTATAAGATGAACCTTATCAAGGAAAGCATTCGGGTCCGTCTTCGCAGACTCTCAATACACACATGAAGCACGCAAACTGATGGAGCACCAGATGGGAAATGAGGACCTTGGCCGCCACTTTGAAGAAATCGGCGACCTCAACAATGCCGGCGAGGCCTACAGCCGTATGCGCCCGGATGTCAGCACCTCGAAGCACATCATCGACGTTGGCAAGCACCTCGTCAGCGTGACGCTCCAGCGCCGGGAGTGGCCCATGGTCATCGCCAATCTCAGCAAGATCACCGGTGTCCAAAACGGCGAGGAAGACAAGGGTCTGCAACCGTACACCAAGATTGCCCAGGGCATCGCTCTCATGGGCCTCGAGAAATTTGAGGATGCGGCCAAAAGTTTCTTGCAGATCGATGCCGGCAAAGAGGGTGCGGGGAAGGACGGCGCCGAGTACAATACCATTGCGAGCCCCAACGACGTGGCAGTATACGGCGGCCTCCTGGCCCTTGCGACGATGGACCGCAAGGACCTGCAGACCCGCGTATTGGACAACCAGAACTTCAGAACCTTTCTGGAGCTGGAGCCTCACGTTCGCAAGGCCATCTCGCTCTTCGTCAACGGCCGGTACTCAGCATGTCTCGCAATCCTGGAGGTGTACCGCGCCGACTACCTCCTGGACATCTATCTCCAGAAACACATCCCCACACTCTACTCCCAGATCAGAAGCAAGTGCATCGTGCAGTACTTTGTCCCTTTCTCCTGTGTCACCCTGAGTAGCCTGGAGGAGGCCTTTGCGGTGCCCGGTAAGCCAATCATCGACGAGCTCGTTACTATGATTCGGAGCGGCGTTCTACAGGCACGCATCAACACAATTGACAAGGTGAGTTTGGACATACCCGCGGTTTGCTTAGGGATCCAACCGCACTGTGCTAACGCACGACTCACAGACGTTGGTCGCCGTGTCTCCGAACCCCCGAGCGACTTTGCAAAGGTTGGTTCTTGACACGATTGACGCCTACGAACGGGATGCCACAGAGCGGATCCGGCGCATGAGCATCATTGCGGCGGATATGGAAGTAAAGAACACGCGCAAGGGAAACGCTGGTGGGCAGGGCATCGATGAGCTCTGGCTCGAGCAGGCCAACCGGACAGCGACGGCCAGCGGCGAGGCGAGCTGATGGTGCTCCGGCGAGGAACACCTCTAGCGAGCGTCCGGCCGAGTCGCGGTTCTTCTCCGCGGGTCGGAAGCGAGCTGAAGACGCACAGAAACGCCGACAAACGGGGCACTGTTGGCGATCCACCTTGGCTCCATAGCTAAAAGGCTGGGTAGTCGATTGGCAATCCGGACTCGGCGTGCTGGCGATGAACTATTGGTTCCCCTGGGTGAAAAAGCATACGTACGCCTGCCAACACCCCAATCGTTCCGTCGGATCATTCAGACGTCATGGTACTTGTGCGCTAGACATGCCATTAGCCACTAAGATCGGGTATGGACCTCGCACAGCTAAGCGGTGGGGCGGCTAAAGGGGCTGGACGGCGGCGTTGATCGCGGGATCCCCGGGGCGATGGATCGAGGCTTACGAAGCAAGCACAGCATAGAAATGTGCTGGGTGACGAGTTGGGCAGTCGTATTGGGAAGTAGTCGGGAATAACGCCATTGACTATGCACCTACCTGCTATCGTTCGCCCGAACTGTGACAGTCCGTCAATCCATCCTGATTCGTGATCCCCAGGGCTTGCTATGAACAAACCTGATCCTGTAGCGTTCTCTTTTAGAAGAGGGGTTTACTCGCACGGTGCGCTTTCGTTCTCTCTTTGCCCAACCATGTATTAACATCGAAGGGTTTAAAAAAAGAGGTGGTGATCATTCGCCCCATTCTGTCAAGTGGACATTACCGGGGGAGGGATTCTGATCACACCGAGGCAGCATTCCATCCCGCCCTTACCACACCCCCTTTCCATATTGAGAGTAAAGATTACAGAGAGTGCGATGTCGCAATGTGTACGAGATGGGGCAACCGGGGAGGGGAGGGGAGGGGAGCAGGCATTTACACTTTTTCTGAAGGTCGTCAGGGATTTTTTGGACCAAGGTCTTCAGGCAAACCGTGGAGAGAGGGGGCGTGTGCGCGCGCAGAGTTGTAAGTGTAAATATTTTGCTTTTTAGCCTGCATAAGGCAGTCCGAAGTTCTCAAGCAGTCCCCTGCTCTTTGTGTGTGTCCGATCCACCATTCCACCCGGCCGCAACTCCAATCAGTTTTCTATTCCCATAACGATGGTCCGCTTCCATCGCCCCAATGCCCTTTCCCTATGCGATATCCACCGCCCTGGTCAGGACGTCGTCGGAACTAGATTGCGCCCGCTAAAATGGAGAGAATGAGCAAAATGTTACATGATGGTGTCGAACAATGATAGCCATCAAGGATTTTGGGGGGGGGGGGGGGGGGGGGGGTCAAGAAGCAGCGGCAAGGAGGGGCAGCGCGGTCTTCTTTTTTCTTTTCTTTTCTTTTCCGTGCGCATGCCCCCCTGCCGCCCACCAAGTACCATAACCACCACCCGTGGTGTTCCATTCGGACTTGCGGTCCGGTGCACGCCCAGGAGTCTCGAAAGAGGACAAGAAATGGATTCTCAACAGGACGTGTCTCATCACCCCATGAGTTGACGCACGTCGGTGGGCGGCCAGCGGATCTGCGCAAATGTGAGGAGGCGCTTGATGCTCTGCAGGTACTTGCGCGTGACCTCGTCGCCCATGACATGTCCGCGCTCGCCGTTGTGTAGCTTCTCGCGGGCGCTGCGCTCGTGGATGCCGACCATGGTGACACCGATGGGCCAGGCAGCCTTGCCGATCGAGAGACGGAGGTAGCCGTCGTTGGCGTCGACGTAGCGGCGCTCCTGCGCGGCCTTGACGATCTCGACGACGGGCGCGAGGAGGTCGTCGTCGAGGTCGTGTTTCTCGAACTTGCGGAACAGCTAAGCTGCGTCAGTACCGCTTTTGGTGGAATGCCATGTGAAGAAGAAGTGTCATACCGGCTTGAGGTTCTCGCGGCTCTGCACCATGGCGCTGTAGGCCGTCTTGCTCGCAGTCGTGTCGCGCCGCTCCTGCTCCATGGCCTTCTCGTACTCGGTCAGGACCATGGTGAAGTATGATGCCAGCTGCCTGAACAGCCAGCTGCGCCCTTCCTTGTCCTTGGGCACCCCACCGTCGACCTTCATGTCCTTCTCCTCAACCAGCTGCAGCGTCGTCGGAATGGGGCCCTTTGTGACCACCGTCGTGAGCCGTCGGTACCTCCTCAGCCTTGCCACGTGTCCCTCGCCGAAGAGCGTCGCCGGCTCGCCCAGCGCGCGCAGCTTTCCCGTGAGCTCCTCGTCGGGTATGTCCTCCATGCCGTCCTCGACCTCGGCGACGTCCTCGCTGCTGGCCTTGACGAGCTCCGGCAGGCCGAGCCGCTTGCGCCGGGCGCGCTCCTCCTCTGCTTCCTTCTCCTCGCGCCGCCGTCGTGATTCCTCGGCGAGCTTTTGACGTTTTTCTTCGCGTATCTTCTTCTCAGCCGCTTCTTCGTCCTCGCGCTTGCGCTTCGCGGCGGCCCTGGCCTCCCGCTCGGCCTCGATGCGGGCTTGTTCCGCGAGGTATTCCTGCCTGCGCTTCGCTTCGACGTCGGCGCGCTTGACGTATTTTGATGACGACGAGGTCGGCGTCGACTCTTTTGCCTTGTCCAGCTCTTTGGACATAAGCGCCGCGAAATCCATGCTGGCGGGCGGGCGGGCGGTCGTCAACTTGGGCTATTTGCCGGTCGGTATGCTTGCTATCGGCAAGGATTGGGGTGTGCGCGTGTTGTCTCGGGTGGGTCCGTCCGGCCGTGTGTATCGCCAAAGTTATGCCGTCCAGCTTGCTGCGGTGTCGATGAAATGTCGTTGAACAAAAGCGGGAGTAAATTTGGGTAAGGCGTACCGATTGAAAAGCTTACTTTCTTTTATTTACCGTCCATTATGTTTCCCCCACACCTCTCTGGGCGCCTGTGTGGTGGACGATCCATGCATGGAAGCTTTGGAAGATCGCGCTTAACTTGCACAGCCTCACTCGCCTACCACCTTGACTCCAGTCGGGAGGGACGCACGCCCGCACACCGCACACCACACACACGCAAGACTACCTAGTTCCGGTACTCCCTCCATTTTGCCCGTCTCTTTCCTGACCCCTTGGGGACCCCAAACTCGTGTTGTGGCTGTTTGTCACAAGGGGGCCTGGAGGTTGTCAAATTCAAGCTCGTCCTGGCTGCTCCACCAGTGCTGTACGTACTCTTCGACGTTGCCCTTTCTTACAACGCCTCGCGGTACCTGCGACGCCTCGACGGCACCACTTTGAGAATGGCGTCGATCGAGCGGGAAGAGACTACCCCGTTTCTTGTACAACTTTTCTGCAAGAACGGCTCGTTTCACAGGTAAGGGTGGAGACGCGCTACTTGCCTCCGGATACGGATCGCTAATCATAGTTCAGAACAGATGAGTTCGCCTCGAGGAGCCTGCCACCTGCCTTGTCACTCTACACGTGGACCGACTGCACCTTGACCGAACTCGCTGAGCAGATCGCTGCCGCAGACCCCTCGCTGCTGCCGAGCCCCTCCGTGGGCACAAGGCTGGCCTTTCGTGTTATTTACCCGGACACCCGGAACGCGGCGGTCCCGCTCGGCGCTCACCACGCGCAGACACAGATCCCCCGGTTTATGGTTAAGGACCTAGGGAGCGTCGTGCTGGGCGACGGCACGGCGGGCGCTATTCTCGCTGCCAACGGCGCGGAGGCGGTTGAGGGAGACATACACATGGCCGAGACGACGACGGGATTGCCGGACACGGACACAGCCAAGGACAAGACTTTCGGCGACGCCAAGTTCGTGGTGGGGGATTACATCGCGTGCGCCATTCTGCCGCCGTTGCCTGACGGATCTGTGGCTCCCGCGCTCACCTCGCGGAACGACAGAACCGCGGGACCGTTTGGCGCAAGGGGCGGTCTGGGCGGCCTGGCCTCACAGGGGCCGCGTCGAGACGCTGCGTTTGGTGCGAGACAGGGGCGCGACAGAGACAGGCGGCGCTCCGGGCTCGGTGACAACGGGTTTCCTGAAGGAGAGTGGAGGAGAGGCGAGAGGTTGCCGGAAGATCCTCCCGAAAGGTCTTGGGGCAGAGGACGGAGACCAGACAGATGGTGACTGGTTGGTTCGGATGATTGGAGTGCAGCACTGTTTTAGGAGTTGTGGCACGGCGTCAAGGCTCACGCGGGAGAAAATACCAGGTATTATCACAGCCATTCTACGGGCGTCTAGGCTTTCATAGTTGCCTGTAGGGTGTTGGGACAGATTTCCCACGTCGGCTGTTTGCAAAAGGAAAACTTCTGCTTATTGCTTGTTCCATTCTTCTGCTCCGGCCCGTGTCCCTGGGCTTATCTATAACACTCTTCCTGTCGATATCCTGCTCCCTCTACCTCTACCGCTCGTAGACCAGGTCGCCCTTGCGCTTCGCGCGGAGATCCCAGAGACCCTGTATCAGTCAGTATCGGTGGTTGAGGCGTGTCAGGCCATCGCTCGTCTCGCGGGAGGATTGGGGGGAGGGCGTCTCACGTCGGTCTTGTAGCCAATGTAGCCGACGACGAACGGCACGACGACGGCGTACATGAAGGTGACGCGGGCCGTTCTCGGGGTCCAGCGGAAGAAGATGTGTCGGTTGCTCTGCATGTCTGTTCGGCGCTCGCGGGTCAGCACTGTTATCACCCGGGGGCCCTCAACAGCTCCATCGGTCGACGGTCTATCGTCGCTCATCGGATTCGAAGGAGTCTCAACGTACGTCCCAACTTGACCAAGGCCGGGTCAAGGGCCAGCTCTAGTTCATCGGGTTAGCATTTTCTATTATTATCCAACTTTCGACGTCAATTGAACTCACTGTGGTGGTGGCCCGCCATCTTGACAGATGTACAAGGGCGTATTCGGGGGTTTAAAATCGCTAGGTTAGTCGGACGACGTGGTTTCGGCGGGGTTTGAGGGGTAATCGGTGTCGCTCGTCGAAATGCGGCTCGAGGCTCCTTGATGGAACAATGGATCGCGAGCCTTGGAGTTGAATGCTTAGGTAACAAGCCCTCCTGCCTCAATGGTCAGGCACATTCAACCATTTGGTTGGCATTGGATGCGTAAGGCCTCTCTGGCACTGTGCCCAGGCTCGATGAAATATAGGATAATACAGTTTGAACCTCGACACCTACCACACTGTGTAGTGGTGCGTGCAGTTATGTCCGTCCTTCTTGGTTATCTACTATTGAAGTTTACATAAGCAGAATCATGTCAACGTGCCAGAGTGGTTAATGGGCTGCCCTGCTACATTGTCTCGAGGAATCAAGACACTCAGCTCAGGCAGTGGCTTCGGTCGCGCAAGTTCGAATCTTGTCGTTGACGCTTAATAAACTTTTTCCTCTTTTTTCTGCCCTATATGTAACGAGGCTGGATGTGTTGGTGCAATTGAGGTTTGGAGTCAGCGGCGGCAGACTTGGCGAGAACATACATTCATTTGCTCTGGAACACACGGTTCTCAACCAAGGTGCAAGCAAGTACACAACAAATCCATGCAAGAGCACACGGTTCTCTCTCAAAAGAAACGCCTCAAGTCGGGGGAATTGTCACCGCATGCCGTCCCCCGACTTGGTGGCTTAGCCGATGATTGAGCGCTCGATTTGGGGCGATGCCGAGGCATCGACACTGATTCAAGCCCAAATTGTGGAGACACGCTGCTGGTGAAAGGGCTGCGGCGATGGCCGGGTCCTGTGCGTTCCGGAAAGCTAGTGACGTATAAATGAGGAACGCGACCTGGACGAAGTTATTCTGCAATCTATCACAAACAAATCAGTGGTGATAAGCTGTTACTGTTTGGAACATCACGCAGTTGAATTCGATAACTCGCGACGATTGTGACACAATCAGAGTATCGAGCCACCACGCCAGCACCATGACAACCGAGCAGAAGCCCAAGATCAAGCTCTACTGGTAAGTCGGTCTCATGACTGACGTCTAGAATCGAGCTGATCAAGACCCTAGGCTTGAGCAGTCCAGGGCGCAGAACATCCTATGGCTCCTCGAAGAGCTCAAGGTCGATTACGAGGTTGAGGTTTTCCACCGTAACAAGCAAACCCTTCTGGCGCCGCCTGAGCTTGCAAAGATTCACCCCTTGGGCAAGTCGCCCGTCATCGATATCTATCCCACCGGCTCTGGCGAGCCCATCAGGTTGGCGGAGAGCGGGCGCATAACGGAGTATCTGTGCGAGTACTTCGGGCAGAACACCAACCTCATTCCCAAGAAGTGGAAGGATGGTCAGGAGGGCAAGCTCGGCGGCGAGACTGAGGAATTTTCGCGGTGCCGGTATCTCCTCCATTACATCGAAGGAAGCCTGCTCCCGATCCTGACAATGACTCTCGTCATTGGAGGTAAGCCGCATCCCCCGCGGTGCAGACGGATCACCGCAGCTCACGCGCGCAGCCCTCAAATCCGACAACGTACCGTTTTTCGTTCGACCCGTCACCTCGGTGGTTGCCAACAAGATCTACAGTATGGTGATATTCCCCAATGCCCAGAAGCACCTCGCCTTGCTCGACCAGATGCTCGAGACCTCCCCCAACGGCGGCAAGTACATGTGCGGCGAGCACCTGTCGGCCGCCGACATCCTGCTCAGTTTCGCTCTCATCGCGGCGGAACCCCGTTTCGACACTCTGGGCAGCTGGCCCGGCGGTTCCTCGCGGGTCGCGCACCCACGTGTGTTCGAGTACATTGATCGGCTGAAGAAGGAGCCCGGATACCAGCGGTCGGCGGACAAGATTCGGGAGATTGAGGGCAAGTTCGAGCCCACCATCTCCAAGATGTAAGATTTGGCGTGTGATGAGTAGGGAGAGGACCAAGATACGGAGGGTTCATATATATCATTATACCAAATTGATGAATGATTCCACGTTTCCAGCTTGGCTCAGACTCCTTTGCATTCTGTACTAGACATACTCTCACATTTCACAATTGTCTGGAAGAGAGGCCCATCCGTGTCTGAATGTCCGGGTGGAGGGCGAGTGGCCCGAGCTCCAGTGACGGAGCACTGCCGCAGGGGTCTCGGGCCGCTAGGTAGGCACCTACCTACCTAGGTAGTGGGCATGCGCCGTAGTCGGGAACTTTTTTCCAGTAGCCCTTTTGACGTGGGATTTATGCATCACCAACTATCAACACGCCACGGACCCCAACACACTCGTTTACCAGAACCCATGCTAGTCTCGAGGACATTATGCGCCCATTGCCGGTCGAGGCTTCTGGTCAGCTCAGCGCATATCGGTACGGCCCGATCGAATTCGACCGTGAGCTTCCCGGCCGCCACCGCCGAAACCTCGAGAACGAAAACACAGCCAGACCGAACCCAGTCACATAATCCGCCGCGGGTACCTGCGCGGGCAAAGAGCGTCAGCGTTGGCGATCCGCGCACGAAGCAGAGGGCATTGGATCTGTTTGAAGAAATCGTCAGGAGCAAGCCGCAGGCGCCCTCGGGTCTCAGCCAAGATGTCACCCTGCCCTACCGTCTCGCCGACGAACTCGACATGATCGCGAAGAACAATGAGAATCTCTCTGCGACGGAGGTTGCCGCGAAGTCGTATATGGTCATAAAGACGAAGCTGCTGCCGATATTGCAACAGGCGGACATCCGATTGCCACAGAGCCTTATCACCAAAGCAACCCAGGCGATGCAGCAGATGGTGAAAGCCAAATTTTCTGCCATTGACAATAAGGACCTCCCCAGCACTGCCAATATCTGCAAGATTTACGCTGATCTAAACAATGTTCGGGTCGTGAGGAGACTGGAGCTCATCAACGAGCTCCTGCGAGTGATCGTGTCTTCCCAGTCCGAGTCAGGGGCCAAATCCGTCGAAGATCAATTGGACGACCTAGTGGAATGCTGGAAACACTTTTCAGGCTTGAGGCGCGTCAAAAGCGGCATGGCCTCGCATACGGAGTTCTGGATTACCTCGAGACCAGACATGCGGGGCACGGAGGAGCCCGCCAAGCTCTTCCGCCTGCTCTTCCCTCTGTTTGCGCTCAACGAACTGCGCGGCCTCACCCCCGCGCTCGTGACGACGTTCGTCCTGCTCTCCGAGCCCAAGCATGCGTTGAGCATGGCAAAAGAGGAGGCGCAGCCTTTGCTGCAAGCATTGGACCCTATCGTGAAGCGATTCGGCCGCGAGGAGCTCCAGCCATTCTTCGATGGCTATCCGGAACTATGGAACTACGTTCAGCCCAGGGCGGATTGGCGGGTTACTCGAACGGCGCCAGAAGCCTTGAAGGATTCGAATGCACATGCTGTTGGGAATTCGAGTCACACTCCGGCCGAAGGGCGTTTCTCATATGTTCTCTGGCACAAGCGCTTCAACGTGGCTTTTCGTTCGCCCGGCCTTACAGTGGCGAAGGAGACGTGGAGGGACCTTATCGACCCTGCCAACGATGACATGCGGGCCGTGAGGCTTCGTCGCGCCCCCGAGTTGTTTGACTACATCTTGTTCCTCGCCTGCAGCAAGAAGGAAGAGGGCGCCTCCAAACTGACTTCGGAAATACTGGCGTACATGAAAGACCTTGGACTCGCACCCTCGGTAAGGACGTACACGTCTATGATGAATGGCTGGAAGCAGGCCAGGAAGCTGGACCCGATCGAGCATCTGTGGGCCACGATCACGCGGTCGCCTCTGAAGCTAGATGAGCAGATCTGGTCGATCAGGATAGCCGCCCTTAGCCAACTAGGCCCAGAGAGAGCCGGCCTCGCCGCCTTGAAAGAGATGGAGAGCCTGTGGGACGCGGAAGTGAAGAGCGGCAAAGCGATCAAAGCAGACGAGCCTGGGGTCGCAGGTCCGAACGCGGTAAAGCCTGGGATCGCGAGTGTGAACGCAGCCATCTCTGGGCTGCTGATGCGAAACCGCATGGATGTGATACACGCGGTGCTGAAATGGGCGACGAGCAGGGGCTTAGAACCAGACATCTACACTTACAACATGCTCCTCTCGCAGATGCTCAAGAAAGGCGCTTCCGACGAGGTGGATGCGCTTCTTTCCAGTATGAAGGCGGCGGGTGTGGAGCCTGACGCGGCCACCTTCACCATCATTCTTGAAGCAGCCTTTGCAGGCCTCCACAAGCAGACGCCACGTGAGCAGCGAGAGGCCATCGACGGGGTCTTCGCGGAGATGGCCGCCTGTGGTATCAAGCCCAGCCAGGAGGCATTCGCCAAGATGCTCTATGTCCTTGTCCGGCAGGGCGCCGCTGCGGATCACGCGATCAACATCGTGCTCGGCCACCTGCGCAGGAGCGACGTACAGCCCTCGACGGAGATTTGCACGATCCTGGTCGAACACTACGCCAGCCGCGAGCAGCCAGACCTCGGCTCCATTCGCGCCCTCGTAGCCGACCGTCGCTCCCGCACCCGCGCACTAATGGACCGCGTCTTCTGGGAGAGCGTCATCAAACACTACCACCGCGTCGGCGACCTCTACGGCGCGCTGGAGATCGTGTACGACCTCGATGACTGGGGCATCTGGCCCGCCCTTCCGCTTCTCGAGCCCCTGCTGCGATCGCTGATTTCCAAGCGAGACTGGGACGGCGCCAAGAAGCTAGTTTCGACCGTCAGCAAGCAGGCGCGACCCCAGGCAAAGGACAAACGGGACCGGTACTGGAAGCATGCCTTTTGGGCTGCTGCCAAGGATTACGATCTAATAGGCGGCCTGTAGCAAGCTTATACGAGATGTAATTGGCATTCGCCTTTGTACAATAAATCCCTAGTCAACACAGATTTAAAACATGAGTTAATCAAACCCCTCAGCGCGTACGCCGCTGAAGTGTACATCTATAGAGGAGCTTGCGACGCTTGTGGAAGTCGTCGTTTTTGCATGAGGCAGAACAATACGTTCTTCTATCGCGTCGTTTGGCGACGTGCGTAGTGTTCAACATCCCGCCTCCGGACCCGGCTGATCCGCCAAAGCCGGTCTACAACACCGAACGTACGGCCGGCTGCCTCGAGAGAAACACTCAGCCGTGGCATGCTATGCGGATGGTTTGCCTACCATGGTCGATTTGTTCAACTCTCGGTCTGGGACAGTTTTCTTGTCATTGTCACAAGTACATCACTCATGGATAGGTTGATCTGAATTCTTAGATCATGGGACAGTTCGGTAGTCCACCTCATCTTTCTTTGCCTTTACCATTTCATCTTTTCTTTTTGAGTAGCATCCAGACTAAGACGATTTGAAGGTTGCTTCTCAAAGAGTCAGCATCGTCGAGTCGACCCTAAGGCTTTCCCGGTCATGTACATGACCACACTCGGTTGCTCGAAACGGGGGGGGGGGGGGCACGAAGTCCTACAGCTGATGAGATTGGGCGTCTACCAAGACCCCCGCGGAGCATGTAGTAGAATGAATTCCAATGGAAACAGGTCTGTTGCTCGCATGCCAGCTTTTACGACGCCCGAATTTTGACGTCAAGCTCGCTGCCAGGGTTACAGAGAAGCATTGCATTGAGATATTGGGGCTCGGGTGACGTGGAATATGGTTCTTCAAGGACAACTATTGACGCCGAGATTTTTACACTTTGTCGTCATTACTCATAGGGAACTAATACAGGCTCTGAGACTACCAGGCGAATCCAATCGAAGCTCATATAATATACAAGCTGCCAGGCGCGGCTAAAGACGAGGGCCAATGTTCGTCCGAGGAAACTGCCACTGAACCTCTTTCAGAGGACGCATCCATGGGGATTTTGCTGGTATCGTGTGTCATCGATCGGGTATGATTCTCTCAAAAGAGATGTCAGAGCCAGAGCCTTTCCAGACGTGACTTGCACTATAGACGTCTTTGGCAATCCGACCACTACACTAGCCGACCGCGCTGAGGACATACTTGATGCCCTCCCAATGCTCCTTGACCGTCGGCCAGATAAACTCGGGTGCCAGAATAAATCCAGAATCTCCATCCCCACCACTCTTGGGCCTCAGCTCAACACTCCACGAGTACGTCGCGTTGAGAGCTCCATGATGGAAGTCTCTTGCAGAGCCAGTTGAGTAATACAGAATTTCACACGAGGGGCCGACCTGATACTGCTCTCCACTCGTTGCATTAATAGCGGCCGCGTACCCGGCGCCGACGTCACGCTGCGCCTGCAGGTTCTTGGGCAGTACCTCGGACTGGCATGAGAAGCCCCAGGGGAGCAGGATGAGCTGCGAGTAGCTGTGCCAGTCTATGAATAGGCGGACCCCGCCGGGCTTAGCGGCCAGCTTGCGGGAGAGGGCCGAGAGGACGATATTCTCGGGCGTGTCGCCGGGGGTCAGTCCATGGAAGGTTTCACTGCAGGGATCGGCGGAAACGCTGCCATCCTCGAGAGGAAAGTCCCACTGGAAGTCCCAGTTCCGGTTGCCGTCGGTGCCGATACAGGTGGCATTAGAGCGCGGCTGACGGTTCTTGCGCCAGAGGCGATCCGTAGTCTGGCTGTATACGAAACCTGACAGGCAGGCGGTTAGCAAAGCAAGTCATCGTGGGAAAGTTGCACTAACCATCCGGGTTGTGGAAGGGCACGATGTAGAAATCATATGCGTCAAAGAAGGCCGTAACGTTCTTGTCTCCCGACTTGTAACCGTTGATGAGCTGGTAGGTCAAGTACTCGACGGTCTGCATGTCTGTTAGCGACTCGGGTTCTCGCCCGCGCCATCGAAGCAACCAACCAATGTTGTGATCCATTCCCTGGCATGAACAGTGCTGTGCCAGAGGACGACGGGCTTGGTCCCCGTGTCGTTGCCGCCCCAAAGACGCAGCCCAAATATGTTGCGCCCTTCGTACGAGGAGCCAATGTCCAGCCACTCCGAGTTGTTCGGGAACGCGGTCTGGAGGTTCTTCCAGTACTGGACGTGATCGTCGTAGGGGTGATAGGAGTCGAACCAGCTCAGAGGGGGCAACTCGCCGCGCTTGGTTAAGGACGCGGGCTTCTGGGCCGAAGACTCCGCCCTGATCAGCTTGCCGAGATCCTCGTTCAAGAGCTGTTTCTCAAGGTCTAGCGACTTGAAGCTGTCAATCTCCTTGGGCGGGATCGCCACCTCGATGAAGCCGTTCTGGGCAGCGGACGGGAACGATCTCAGGCGGGAAAGGTCTCTTGGTGCGTTGGCGGTAGACACTCGGTAGACCTGATAGCCGTCATAGCTGATCTTGTCGTCTCGCGGCATCGCGGCAGCTCCTGGCCGCAGGGCAGAAACGGTGACGAGGGGGGAGAGGAGGAGGGCGGCGGTGAGCTTCATCGCGACAGACTGACCTCGCACAAGTCGCTGGTGCGGCACACCAACTGAACTCGGCGGCAGTACGCCTTATACTTTATACGCCTTCGAACAGCATGTCTGGATGTATTTCACGCTGCTCGTCGCCTTGCCCAATTTGGCGCGCACTCCCTCCTCCTAGCCCGGCAAACTTAGTGAGCGGGAAGTGAGGGGTTGACGGTTGATGACTATGCAAGCCAAGACTGCGGTGCTTGGATGACGTTCTTGGAACTCGCAAGCCAGCATGAAATCCGCGCGCTTTCCTGTGAACCCCTTTTCGGCGTGGTGAAGACGTGCAACGACGTCGATCGCAACGTCGTACGGGCATGTGGAGCTACTCCTATAAGAGCAGGTGCGAAGGGCAGTCTGGCAAGTTGCTCGGCCCTGTCTCTCTTTCTGGCCATGTTGGCTGGGCTGCGAGGGCAACAGATGCTATATTCGTAGGGCCAGGATAACCCCGCCTGTCGCTTAGAATACCAAGGAGGGGGCGAGGAACTCAAGGCATGCAATGTAGGGTCCGGGTTGGCAAGGCTGGGAATTCGAAATAGTGTTCTTCAATGTCGAAAATAGCTTTGCCAATCTACATGTCTTGCCACCGAGGCGGGGTAGAAATTGGTTACAGTGGTACTCGATAACCGTGACCCAGCATGCCGATCCCCGGGTTGTGGAGGATTTCCACCACCGTTCCGATCCGACGGTGGGCCTCGGCTTCGGAAGCACCCCATACGTCGCCGCGGCTGAACTTTCTATCGTAAAAGTGATTGTTCTTTGTCGAAGCGTGCTCTCGGTCCGAGACCAAGTCGACACTCTCGCATATGAATAGTTGTTTTCTCACCAATCTGTCGGTTCTGACGAGGACTGCATACCATGACCCCTCTTCCCACTGAGTTCTGTCCCATGAAGACTCCAATCTATCACGCCCTAGCATCTACCACAAGGACACATTGCCTGTGACATCAAGAAATTCCAGCAATTGCGTCGAATCACCATCGGATTCCATACTATCGCAGGCTAGTAGTCTTTGGTTTCGAGCTTTGGCGGTTGACGCGGAGTAATGCCAAGCGCCCACCACGTGGACGCCAATTAAAACCCCCCAGTACCCCACGCCAGGTGATCGCAGCAGGTGTTTGGCCCTTCTGATACGTGAATAATATGGCCGCCTGCCTCTCGCCGTACCAAAGGGCCGCAGTTTGAAAGTTGGGTATTCGAAGCGCGGCATGGTTCCACGCTTCCGGATAAGCATTTGGGGCGTCAGTCCGTAGTTGCAGTTTCTCCTACGCCCCGGCGTTTTGGGATGAATCTCTCAGCATCGAACAAACACGCAACGGAGATCAGATCGAGCTTGAGGCTTCTTCCGGCACCGATAGCATGATTCCTCGCTAGAAGATTAATGATACGGAATCAGAAAGCCCAGCAATGCCCGTGAGCTACGTGTTTGGCTAAGGAGAGATCAGCTTCACAGGGCTGCGACAAGTTTTTCCAGCCCTTGCAGGTGCTCATCGCGGCTGAAAAGGCGGCTCCGCTATGGATGGATACAAACGACCTTGATAGCACGATGTCTTCGAAACCATACTCAAAACGGGTCTCGCCGGTCGGTGCGATTGCTTGGGAAAGAAGTTTCTGACGTAAGGCCAGCGCTTGATTCTAGTCGTGTCGAGTTGCACCACGAGCAACTCATAATCTAGGCAGATCAGCATAACCCAACTAGTCCACCTACCATTCGAGTCCGATATTCCCAGGTCCCATTTATACCAACCTCACGTTGGTAGGAGTTTCCCTAAGTCATTCGACCTTTCATTCTACAACCGAGCCCAGTGAAGGGTCTGTAGGCCTGGAGGTACTTGGTATGAAATCCCGGTGTTTTCAAGTGAAAGCGTTGCTTCATGCAGTCAAGGGTCAAGGCTGGTCTTTGGCCGTATTCCGAGCCTTGGTTTTACGCAAGTTTTGCTTGTTGAATTCAGTACGCCCATACCTGTCCATGATGTTCCGTCACCATGGAACAATGACTCATCACCGTTTCATTCAAGGTATTCCATCCCGAACATATCCATGCGTGTCGGTTCAACGAGAGCCTTACCTCACCCGAGGCAAGACCCGCTACACCGAGCCGAATTCTCTGAACAGCTATGAAGCGGCTTCCGTACTCTTGTGATCGAACCCTGCCTCTTCACAGTCTGCCGACAACGGTCGCGATTGCTCAGCGGCTCGTGATACCGCAGCATCTGACGGAGCGATACTGGTGCTTTTATTCCGAGTGATGGATCCTAGTCTTGCCCGACCATGAGGGATAGCCTGTTGGCACCGATTAATGACAGTGTTCCTGTCGCTGAGATTTGATGCTCGTGTAGCGGATGCCGATGCGTGTTGGTTTCTGAACCACGCTCGGCACGGTCGGGTCGAACCGAGGCGGGCTCGGTGAACGTCGTCACAAGGTTCGGTCGCTAAAGCTGTCGATCGATCAGATGCGTTTCCAGGCAAGCCGTCGAGCGTACTGGAACAGGCTCGCCTCGGCGCCAGTGCTGGGAAGGCACCGCCAGCCGGTCGGATTCTTCGTCCTAGTCAGTCCAGATCCGTGGCTTTGATCTCATGACTCGTCCATCGCGTCGGGATGATTCTGTTCGGCGGGCTCCTGGGAGCCTCCTCCCAGCGAAGACACTACCTGCTCCAACCCTTCAACTTCGTCCATGGCAAACTTCCTGCCCTCACCCTGCCACTCGCCGTCGCGGACCTCTCCGTCTTTGCCAAGCTCCAAGCCCCGTACGTGCTCAAGATGCTTTCGTGTCGCACTTTCGACATATTCTAGTCTCTCGCGCCTCCAGCTTTTGTTCTTCTCCGGCACATCCTCGACGTTGGACGGGTCCTTCAGATCAGGCATGATGTTTCTTAGGGAGGTCGATAGTGCCCGCAATGCCTGCAGTTGCGACATGTTGAACGCCGTCGTCGTAGTGAGAGGCGTCTTGTAGTCTCCCTCCGTGAGATCGCCCTTCTCCTGCAGGAACTGGAATGGCGCCCTGTCGTCTACCCCTTCGACCTTGACCTCCCCCAGCGAAGCCCGCGAGCCGGCGGGCTTACCGCCGACAACCCCCCGCAGCTTTGCCAGCAGTGCCGCGTTCTTAGCCTGTTCGCCATGCAACATCACGTTCAATCGCTGGCTCGCCTGCAGTTTCCTTCTCAGTGCAGCGACGCTCTCTCTAGTCGGGGCGTCCTCATGGACGGTGTTGAACTCGAGGCCGTGGTAGTGTGCAAGGCGCATCCAGTTTCGGTGGTTTGGCTGGATGCCTAGGATGTTCTGCATCACGTAGAGCTCGTATTTGTCAAAATTCTTGTCGATGGCTGCGCACAGTAGTGTCTCGAGCTTGTGGACGCCGTCGACGATCTCTAGCTTCGCCATTTCCTCGACATTGGCCGACGCATCCGGGCGAGACTTCTTCTGCTTCAATGCCTTTTCGAAACCGAGAGCTCTGGGAGGTGCTTTCGAAAGACCTTGCTCGACGCGGTCGAGGGTCTTGTCGGCTACTGCGTTGACATTGTTGATGATGCTGTCGAGGAGCGACTGTGACCGTGTCAGTCCGTGGCCGTTGTCTAGTGCGCTTGATGGATCACAAGGACAGACTCACAATCGGCGCATATCCGAGATGCTCCGTCAGGAGCTCGACGTCGATGATGTTCCGTTGCGCCATCGTGGCTGATTGCTGATGGGTCTGCTGGCAGTAAGATTGTGGTTGGGTGGGCTGCGACGTACGGTCCGGGCGACGCGACTGACGCGACGAAAGTCAATATTTGGCAAGGACTTTGGGACAGGGAAGGAAGGAAGACTACAGGCAGGAAGGGGCTGGTGGGCCTGAATCGCAAGGCCATCAAGCATGGGCACACACACCGAGTTTACAGCGCCCGATGTGCAGGAACACCCCTATTTTGGCGATTCAGCAGCGGGGCGAGGCGCCTATCATCTTTCCACTGCTACCTACATGTACGCAACCGACGTCACGCAGGACTAGGATGGAGCGCTGACTGAGAGGGCCACCGCTGGAGACGATTTGGATCTCTACCGGCATTAACATTAATTGCACAGCATTACAATTTCTCCCTTTTACACAGGCACAGGTCAGTCTCGACACTAAACGGACACTCTCTTTCCTCTTCTTCCTATTCTTCTTCTTCTTCTCCTCGGACCCGTCGACAATGTCCAGCTTTGGAAACTTGATGAAGAATGGATGGCACCCTGAAACCCCGGGCACCACCTTCAAGGGCCAAGTTGTATGTCACCGTCGGCTTTGGCACGCCATTGAAGAGCACACTGACCGATGCACAGAACGGGCTGCTGGGCAGAAACAAGGACGATGCCCGCAAGGAGGACCGAGTAGCTCGGCCTTTGTCGTCTCTACAGGACCCCTCGACCTTTGCACCGCCGCCGAAGCGTGTCCCCGGTGCGAACCCTCCTCCTATACCGCCATCGCGTTCGAACGCAACGTCGCCTGGAGCCCCACCGCCGCCTTACGAAGACCCAAGTCGGTACCAGCAGCAGCAGCAGGAAGAAGAGGAAGAAGCTCCCCCTCGCTCGTACCGCGTTGACACCACGGGTCTCTCGACCGCCCACCTACCGCCGCCCCCCGGGAGGAAGGATGGTGCTGATGGCAGAACACCGCCCCCTGGTCAAGCCGCCGCACGGCCGCCGCCCCCAAGCCTACCGCCCCGACTCCCGCCCAGAACGCCGTCCGCAGCGTCAGTCACGTCACCTGCGCCGTCCGCACCGGCAGCAGCCAGCGGCGGCGGTTACCTGAACCAGAACGCGATGAGCAGGCTGGGAGCCGCAGGCGTCTCGGTGCCAGCCCTGGGAATCGGAAAATCCGCGCCCGAGCCACCCACGAGATCGAATGGCGGTAGCCCAGCGCCGCCGCCGCGAAACGGTGCTGGCGGGCAGATGAGCGAGCTGCAAAACCGGTTTGCGAAGCTGGGCAAATCCTCGGGTCAATCGTCGAGCCCGCCGCCTCCGACCGAGGGCACGACGATGGAGCAGAAGCAGGCCGCCCTCCGCACAGCGTCCAACTTCCACAAGGACCCCTCATCTGTGTCAATGTCCGATGCCCGCTCCGCGGCGTCAACATTCAATAACTTCCGCCAGCGGCACGGGGAGCAGGTGGCTTCGGGGGTCAAGAGCGCGAACAACTTGAATCAGAAATATGGCATCTCCGACAAGGTGGGAAAATACGCTGGACGGGTTGGCCAGCAGCAGGAGGGAACCACAGGCAGCGCCGGCGCCGGCGCGGCCCCTGGTCCGCTATCTCCTCCGCCCGGGCTGGTGAACGCGATCGGGAAGAAGAGGCCGCCTCCTCCGCCGCCCAAGAAGAAACCCCAGCCGGCGCCGCCAGCACCTGGGGCTGGCGACGACGACGAGCCGCCTCCTATCCCATTGGCGACGAAGCCGACGTTTTGAGCAGTCCAAGCACTGCGTGGGACAAAGCGGGGGGGTTGTGCACTCCTTACCCAAAGCATTCATCTCTGGCGTTTGAGTGGTGGTCAGACTGCCCTACGGGGTGCGGTTCTCGAAAACCCAACAGCTACTGTAGTTCACACACGCAAATTGGGGACGTTGTAGGTCATCGTTAAATACGGCCGACACTGAGTGCACTTTTATTTATTTTGCTTGCTACGGATTCGAAGGGATATATGGCAAAGCAGATGGACGTTGTAGCAAGGTGCCGGGCTGTCAAAATCGGTCCGACACCGTCAAAATCTTGAAAACAGGAACGCCCGGTCCAGATTTTAAACCTTCATCTCCGAGAGACCGTGCTGCCAGACGATGATGTAGGGAGTGACACCATCCTCACGGTAGTTAAGGAGAACGACCCTGCAGTCTGATTAGCATGGGTTCGAGAAGATGACCAAGATGAGGTATCTTACATTCCGTCGGGGTTCATCGACTCGCCGGTGTAGAACTCGAAGTCCTTGAAGTTGGGGAGGAGCTTATCCTTGACGTAAGTCTGCGCGCCCTTCTCGAAGGCAGTGATCTTCTCGGCGGGGGCACCCTTTTCCTGGAGGGCGGACTTGACAGCCTTCATGTAGCCTGTGGGAGCCGTGTCAGCTGCTGTCCAGAATGTGTCCGAGCCATGCCCATGTTGAGGGGAGAATCCACACACCCTTGAGGTAGGTCAAGTAGCCCTTCTTGTCGAACTGGGTGGACTGGAGGCGGAAAGAGTGGACGATGTTGTTGACCTTGACCTCGGTGTCCTCAACACCCTCGTCGGCCTCCTCAGCGGAAGCGTTGGCACCGGTGTCTGGAAACTCGTCAGAACGCTGCTCCTACTGCGTGTCGAAAGCGGGCGCGGGGTAAGCGCCGCAGGAGGGGGAGTTCACGCACCGACTTGGACAGTGCCCTCAGTGATCATGGCACAGTCGGCCTCGTAAACAATGCCATCGATGTCCTTGAGATCGTAGGAGTCCGAGATGATCTCGTCGTCCGTGATAATGTCCTATTCGAGTGGTGGGGTTCGGTCAGCCCAAGATTTCCCGTATTCGAAATAAAGACATTTGCTGTTTTTCTTCCCCCTGCCTAACGGCGGCGGGGTTACGGAGGAGGGGTAATAAAAAAAAATGCAGCTTGTGCGCCAGCACGCCGTGGTTTGGTCGATGGACTGCAATTGTTCCGTTTTGGATAGGAGCGTACCTTGTAGATAATCATCTTGGCGGTTTGTCTGGGAGGGTCGAGAGGATCGGGTTGGCGAGACGGAAATTCGTTGTCTGGGTCTGGAGGAGTGAGAGATCGAGCAAAGAGAAGGGGGGTCGCTTTTGAAGGGCGAAAAGTGTTCGCAAATTTGGTAAGTGGGAGGACTGTGTCTGGTGGGGTATCAGGCGCTAGTCTATATCGAGACTAACCCAGGATAGTTCGGCGGGTATCCGTTAAGAGTATAGCAGGAACGACCATATAAAGCACTAACAGTATGACGGGCAGCCCGAAGGGGCGAGAACACTCACTACCTACCTACGCGGGGAGGGGGGGGGGTTCTGGACAGTGCCCCATCATAATGTATCTATAGTAACCTTTGGGGGTCAGTATTGCCCGCCTGACATAGTAGGTACTAGATATTATGTAGCGTACATATTACTCCTGTCATTTACACCTGCTTTTCTCTAACTGTTCTAACTATTTTCTTTATTCTTACTTTTTTATGTCTATATCTAGTCATTTAGACTAGGCTGACATTAGTCTGCATTAACAGGCTTTTCTAAAGTTTTAGAGAAGAGCGTAGATCTAGAGACAAAAAGGGACAGAAAATCTGACGCATCACTTTAAATACAGCCTGTGCAACAATTGATATTCTGTACTGTATATATTCACTTGGTCATGATGATTGGCCACTGTCCAGAACCCTCCCTCCTGGATAGGTAAGTACCTACTGAACATTGCTAAACGCGGGACCAGAGGCTGTATGAACCTGGACTGAAAGAAAAGAAAAAAAATCATGTGTATCAATCCGGTGGGAGATGTAAATAATTCGCTATTTTGGCCTTTGCATTTTCTGGAGCCGTGCACTAGCTCAGGCTTCCGTGGCCGTCGTCAACATATCTACAATACGCTCAAAGGCTATCATCCTACGTAGTATCCGTAGAGTCTTGGTCTGATATGGCGGGCGGAGTAGTGTTCAAAGGTCGAATTGGGATGCCTTACCTAAGCGGCTGGTGCATCCGAGTCCTTGACAGCGCCGCTGCCGCTGAAAGGGGGGGTCCTGGACATGCTCAGTATCAGAAAATCGGAGCCGGGATAGCCTCAATTGCGCTCTGCGAATGCGTGGTAGTTGTGGATGCAGCCTAATATGCCCGACGCTGGCCGTCCCTCCACGTCACATGAACTCTGTCGACATGGAATACCGTCTGGCCTGGTGTCTGCGAAAGGCCCAGCATGGGCTGGAGTGGGATGGCATCCGTGATCAAGGTATGCCCTGGGAGGAGCGAAGAGCACAACACATCGCTGACGGATCGATGCCTTGGCCAATCCCTCTTTCCCAGACTGATCGTACCGAAAGTCCTGCGCGTCCCACTATTAGAGCCTCCACAGAGAAGAAGCCCTCTCTCGATGACAACTTTGAAGTGGGCGCATCGCGTCGTGAAATTGCCTTACCTAAGCCACCCTCTTCAATGCACTCCCGATCGCATCGCGGCGCCAGGGCTTATATAAACCACTGAGCAGTCCGCGTATCTGCGGGAGTGTCAGGGGGGGATTGGCCCCGGTGGGGCTGACACGACAACGTAGCAAGCCGCGCATGGTTGATGGTTGACTAGTAATTATGACAGCATTGACAAGCCCGCCGCAATTTACGCGAGCTAGCCTGTGAAAGCGGTAAGGTATGCAGTCAGGTAAACAATGGACGCATGTCGAGCCCGTGTAGGCGATTGAGAGCATTTCGGATACCACGGCCGGGGAATTCTCCAATTCCCGCTCCAGATCGATAATTCGGAAAGAAGAGGGGGCGAGCCCAATTGTGGTTCGATCCATTGCAAAACCGGGAGACTGTCGAAAGGCGAGAGGCCCGCGCCTTTCCACAAGCGAGATTGATAAAAGCGCATCATTCCTGGGTCTGGGAACCCGACCACCTGCGCGCGCAGCCTAGTCCTAGAGAGATGGGGGGAAAATTGCCCGCCTGTACTCCCGACGTTGCCGCTAGTACATCACTATCCCCGTGCCTTTGGCCCTGCGAGTACCTAGCAACGAGCGCCTCCAAGCACCGGGTGAGCAGGTCACTCTGTCGGACTGAACGATTTGATTTGGGCTGATTTTTTCCCCTGCGCATTGCGAACAAGGGCCAAGCTAGTCAATGCTGGTGAAACCTCGAACCAACTCGCCACAAGTCTGCCGACCTTTCCCACTCTTTGCTCTCTACTGCCTGACCTAGGTCTTCCGTCTCAGCCCTGCCGCTGCGCTACGCCTCTGTTGCTTTGACATCCGTCCCGCCCCCATATATCCAACTTGCAGCCACTCCTCCCCATCGCCATTGCTCGCCACACCACCGGTCTCTTCCTCTCCCGCATACTCCTCTGCACTCAGCATCTTCCTGCGTTCGGCGACGAGCAGTTCGATACCCCCCTTCGACCGAACCAATCCTTGATTCCGCCGTGTCCGAGACCGACCGAGGAGCAAAGTCGTCACCGGAACCCGCAATGGTCAACGAAACGATCCCACCCACGATGGCGGCAAACTTCACGTCAATGGCCGGCGACCTGCCTCCGCTACCGGCCTACACCCTCAAGCCCTACGCCGACATGATCCCGGGACTGCCGGATGTCTACCTGCGCATCTTTCTGCCCATCGTCGTGTACTGGGTTCTGTCCCTGTTCTTCCACATGATCGATGTTTACGACATATGGCCGCAGTACCGCCTGCACACGCCCGAGGAGATCACCAAGCGCAACCACGTCTCCCGCTACGAGGTCGCCCGCGATGTCGTCTTGCAGCAGCTGATACAGATCTCTATGTCCGTTTTCCTCGAGTACATCGACGAGGAGCAGCTCACCGGCCGGGAGGACTATGATGTCGCTGTCTGGGCCACCCGCGTCCGCATCGCCCAGCGCGCCCTGCCCACCTTCCTCGGCCTGCTCGGCCTCAACGCCGCCTCCATCTCCAAGAACATGTCCGCCTCTCATCCCTTCATCGCCGGCGCTCTCGCCGGCGGTCACTACCCCTTCCTTACCACCGAGCTCGACGGCTCCCACACCGTTGTCCCGGCCTTCGCCTCCTGGGAGCTACTCGTCGCAAAAGCCATCTACTGGCTCGTCATCCCCGGGCTCCAGCTATTTGCCGCCATCTCGATCCTGGACACATGGCAGTACTTTCTCCACCGCCTCATGCACGTTAACAAGTGGATGTACAGTAAGTCGCAACCAAGGCGCGACCCGGCCGAGAACCTCGGGCGTGGGCGGCGAATAGTTCACTAACACGGATTCCCTTAGCAACCTTCCACTCGAGACACCATCGCCTCTACGTCCCCTATGCTTATGGCGCCCTCTACAACCACCCTTTCGAGGGCTTCCTCCTTGACACCCTCGGTGCTGGCATCAGCTTCCTGCTCACCGGCATGAGCGGTAGGCAAGGACTGCTGTTCTTCTGCCTGTCAACCGTCAAGACCGTCGACGACCACTGCGGCTATTCTTTGCCGTGGGATCCCCTTCAGCACATCACGAGCAACAACGCCGCCTACCACGACATCCACCACCAGACGTGGGGCATCAAGACCAACTTCTCCCAACCTTTCTTTATCTTCTGGGACCGCGCCCTCGACACGCGGTACAAAGGCGACAGGCAAAACCGCATCCTGGCGGCCAAGGGCAAGGTGGCCGCAGTGGGAGCCAAGTCTGAATGAAGAGCTCCGAGTGGGCCTCGGCGATCCGAGCCGTCCGACGAGAAACCGACAAAAAAACAAACAATACCATAAGCCTGTAGCAACCGCAATTAGTACTATCACCACACTTCGATTCTGATTTCTGTACACTGGCGTCTTCACACCGGAAAAAGCTTGAGACTGGTTTTTGGATCCATTGGGAAACAAGGAAGCTGGCTTGTCGGCAAACCAGTCGTTGAGGGAGGGGGGGAGAAAACCCTCCCCCTTTTACAATTCATTAGGGAAAGCATTGGGACGAGGCGTTATCGTGTCAGACAAAGCAACGTTCGAATAACAAGGCGGGGGTGGAGTAGAGCAAAGGCAGTCCGGGTTTGTTTTCATTCCAATTCATTTTTCCACCCCCAGTATTGTGACCATGAGAGAAGAGAAGAGGACAACGGACACGCAGACTGGGCTTTGGGACTTGACGCTGTATTCTCCTTTAAATTTTACAACTCTTGTAGAGCATGTGAGTCTTTTCTTATTTCATTCCCCTCCGCTCGGCCCGCCGATGTCTCTCAAGATGTTCGCAGACGCGCTTGTTTTCGATTTTTCATCAATCAATTTTTATTTTTTTCGCGCTTGGAGGAATGTGGACACGAACTTTGGAGAGAAGAGAAAGCAACCGAAACAAGCCGGCTTACACTGCATTGATTAATGGAAGACATAACAATCTCTATGACGTGCGGCCGGCCAAGCCGGCCGATGAGAGGCAATGCTTCAGATATTTTCAGGTGCGAGCGCGTTCTGCGGCGCAACCGGTGTTGGGACGTAGTAAAGTGACAGCGCGATCGGGCGCGTGATGAGGTTTGGTCATCGGAGTTGGAGACATGTAACCTCCGAAGAGGTCTCGGCCGTCCGAGCGCCTGGGTACCTGCCGATGCCGACTCCTCCGACACATGCCTTAAGAAGCAGCGGCTGTCGTTGCAGGGGTGGGTTTGCTAGAGGCACAACAAAGACAGTACAACGCAGGTGTAGCAAATGGAATTATTGATCTCGGCGCACAGCTGCCCTACTGCTCCTCTGGAATAGCATCATCTACCGGTCATGGTTTGTCTTTGCTATGGTGGCCTAGGAGCCTAGTGTGCCAGCGCGTGTGCTGAGCCACGAGCGTCTGGGGGCATCTCGATGGATGGGGTGCAGAGGCGCCCAAGGATGCGGGAGGCGACATCTCGGAAGCGAAACCAGCCAATATCCTCACAAGGCAGACGTTGACTTGGTAGTTCGGTGCAAAGGTGATTTGTGTAAACCGCAACTCAGCCATCCCTACGAAACGCCAGGTCCCCCGCCGCCGTTATGGTCGCAGCGGCCTGTGCCTTTCTCCCATTCGGGCTCTGGCAACCAGGCCGGATTGCATCTGATTGCATCGGGGACCCATATGGGCAACTTGCACAACTCTCAGGCAGATGGGGAAGACATCAGTAGGTGTTTGAGATTGATTGCCAGCCAGGGGTTGTCCAACCACGGCCTGCGGTTTAAACTCGCGGTAGTGTACGACTAAGCAATCAAGGAGGTACAGCTCATGTGATGGACAATCCCTCCGGATCGTCATACATGATCTCCTGTTGTAATGTTCCCATGTAGAAAGCCTTCGTCCCGATTGTCATTGGCCATAACCAGGTCGCTATGGCCGTGGCACTTCAGAACGGAAACCGAGGGCTCGCCGAGCCCTCAGCATTGCTATTGTGTACCGGCGTTGCTTTCGACAGACATCCCACCGCCGGATAAAAAGCATCGTGATCTTTGGTTTCTCACAGTGTACCTTCGGATGGGAGAACCTGGAGATTGGTTACGAACAGGGGTCCGTTCCGTCGCGGCGATGGTACGGGCACGGTCAGCTGTCTCTCTTCGACTAAGTAGCAACCGCAACCACAGAGTCACTGGCGGTCTCGCATTCCAATGTTGCTAGTCTGCAGTCGGATCAAGATGTGGGGATCAAACGTAGGGTCTGAAAGGAATAAAAACATAGAGGCCGGGGCTACCATGGCTAGGCCAGGTAGATGAGAGCCCAGGCAATACCTAGGCAACAAGAAGTGAATGCCTATAGGAGAGTAATGGTCAATGTAGCGGTCAAAAGAGACGAACCGTGGGACAAACATGTTTCTTGCGACAGAGAGTACGGGTCTGAGTCGTGACGGTAGAATGGCAGAAGCGGACAGGGTAGGCCGCCGTCGCCTCCAGTTGCTTGTTTGAAGAGCTGCAAAAGAAACGCAGCTATCGAGTCAAGTCGAGACCAGTCCGGATCGAGTCGGCCGTAGCTAACGACTGAGTACTGAGTACCGCAGATGAGAAACTTATTCAGGCGGAATGGAGCAAGTGCGGTGGTGTTTAGCCGAGACCACGGCTTCCCAATACCGTACAAGCCTCTCGCTGTGCTCGATATTAGAGTTAAGCTCTGAGACCAGAGCAGGGCGCAACGATACTTCAGAAATGCGACTTGCGTATGATTGGGCAGCCGCATCGTTTGCAGGCAACACCAACTTCCCACTGCAGGTCGGCGGCCAGGTGGGAGCCGTCTCGGGACTCGCCCAGCGCCGGCTTGTATGAAAAAAAAACAAAAGAAACAAAAACCAGGAAGCGATTTGAAAAGTAGAGAGAGAAAGAGGGGGAAAAAAAGAAAAAAGAAAAGGGCGTGCGGTCATTGTAGACAGGGCCAAACCGTCGACTTCAGCTCAAAATCCGCAGCGAGATTGCTTTTGGTGAGCGGCAGCCAGCATGGAGAGCGCAGCATCCGTACCAACACGAACCCCTTCGGAAGGGTAACAGTTGCGGTCGCAACGTGGAAGTGGCCGGTCTGTGTGGGCACACGCCGTCGTCTTTTGCGTGCGATGCGGCCGTTTCGCTATTGATACCATCCTCCCGGCGCCGGCCGGAAACGCAGGGTTCTGCGTCTGGTACCTTGCGCTAGTGCTCCCACTCCACAGTGGGGACCTACCACGGCAAGCGACCTAACCAGACACGCCTGTCAAGACCCGGCCTGTTGGTGTTGTTGGTCATGGATGGCAGTGACGGACTCCAGTTCAGCGCAAGTCCGGTCGGGGGTAGGAGGTGAACCCCTGATGCCGCGAAAGACGAAGAGCTGATGGCAACGACATCCGTGAGTGACTCGGATGCGACCAAGGCGACTAGAATCGACGACCGTGACAGTCTGCAAGGGGCATCGGCCTTGCAGGAGGGATCCGTCATTAGTTTTGTGAGACCGAGACCGAGACCTTCGCAGCCAGCGTCGATGGCGTCTTGGGATCGCCAAAACACAGTCTCGATGACATGGGAGGCCGGGATTTTGTAAGTCGCCGGACGGCGATCTGGGGCAAGGCGCCCCATGGCAGGCTCCATGACGAGAACTGACAGTGCCAGGTTCCTTCAGCGTTACGTCTGGGGTTGGTGGTATCGTGGGCAAGCGACTCTTGTCAATCTGGATCTCGAGGCCGAGTCGGCAGAAAAAGAGTCAAGGTACCGACCGTGCTGCCGGGGCGGGGAGGCGGCTGGCTTGTGAAAATGTCATGCAACGTGTTGCGGTCGGCAAGCATCATTCATGTGCGTGGGCTGTGTTTGTCCATGACGGCGACGGGATGCACGCCATGTTTCTGCGTCCCGAGATACGAATGCAGTGCATGCGTTCGCGGTGCTCGGGGGCCGAGTGGGGCAGACTGACACACTACAGTTGGCAACAGGAGGATGTCTGGCCGTCCAAAGTACATCTGGGGGTGTACAGCAACGGTGCGGGGAGCGTCATCGGGCCTGCTGACGAATATCGTGGGTTTGTTTGATCGCCCACGACGCTCCTTCCCATCTCGTCTGTGGATGGCACGACATGGCGTAATATGACGCATCATTCACGACGGGACAGTCGATGCAGTGCGGTAGGGTTCAGTTCAGTGGAGAAGATGGTCTCGCAAGAGGCTTTTACTGTTGTGGTGTGTCTAGTACCTACATGTATCGGTATCCGTACCTGTTGATATGTTATTTCTGTGATTTGGGGAGCTTCCTTCCTCATGCGCAATGCCCCTGCAATTGGATTGAGGGGAAATAAGTCCTATGTCTTATGTAATGCCCTCGCAGCACAGTTCCGGACGAACAAGGCGCGATGACGATTACGATGCAGGCAAGGCAAGCGCCGACAGTCTCGGCAGCAGCGGCAGCAGCAGCAGCAGCAAGTAGGTACACACTAGCAGAGCACTGCATTGCAAGTCTGCAACCAGCAATGACACAGCAGCCCAGCACTCTCCACTGCATACAGCTAAACAAGTGGCGACCCGCGCCCTTCTTTGCTTTTCAGCCCATCCCATCTCCACTTTCCATTTCCTTTCCTGTCTTGTCTCGAGCCTAGGCGAGCTTCCCTCTGTCCCGATTCATCTCACGTCGCGAAAGCCGTGCACGGAGAGACAGGCGGGCCCAGCAGCCAACAGTCGACTAACCACAACCAATCACTGCCGTTGCCTGTCTGCGGCTCTGAGACCGGGATCATTGCAAGCGTTACAAACACCCTCTCAGCCAATCCCTATTCAACGGTGCCTTACAATTAGGGACCTTAATTACAGGATCCCGTCCAATAGATCCTCCCGCACGGCAACACACCCCCCCCTGCCCGTGCGCTCGGTACTCAACCTCGAACAGGGACAGCCCACTTGGTCTGAGGAGGCTTTGCTAGCCCTGGCCATAACCGCCTGGTACGAACCCGCCGGCTTCGTCTGGTCTTTTCCAGAGAGACGGATAGAGAAACTCCAGTTGCCGTCGGCTGCGTCAGGAATGGCTGGTGTTCCTATCGAAAAGAACCGTCGTCCTCTATGCCAGTTCCAACGCCACGACTCGCCTGGCCAGAGTCCCGAAATCGTCGCCTCTAGCCCGTTTCCGACCTGGTCCTCCTGTTGTCTTCACCATCGACGCCGCCAAGACCAAGACTGGGGGGCAGGCGGCGGCGGCGGCGCCGTATGCTCACCAGATCGAGAACAGAACTAGCCAAGAATCCTCCGAGGGCCCACCAATATTCTTTTTCTGCTCTGCCTTTTCCCAGAGACCCAAGAGATCATTCATATAGCCCGGGAGTACCCTGGTTCGGGCCAGGCAGACTAGGCGAACAGGGACCGTCTAATCATTCTCTCACCCGCGCTACTGCCTCAGCTTACGAAATCCTTGAGCAACTCTGTCGAGGGGCCTCTTCGAGACGTCCCCCAGTCTCCGTCCGAGGTTCATATTTATTAGAGGGCGCGGCCTGGAAGACACCTTAACCTTGACTCTCGACGCACGCAACTACCTAGCTCCTCACCCCGAAGACCAAAACCGACAACCAACCTACACAAAACGGGGTGACCTGACAACCATCTCAACTTCGAACACGTCCTCCGTTACGCCGCCTGTTTTCGATCCTGATACCGTACCTGCGTTGCCGTCTTTCCTTGCGCATGTCCAGACCCCCCGCCCGCTTGTTTCTCCAAGCGCTCGCCAGTCGCCGATCAACCTCACCCTTTCCAACGGCCGTCACGGCGCTTCCACGCACATCCCGCCCTCTCCATTGGCCAACCACCCCGTCCCCCAATTTCAAATCTGCCTCGCCTCACCTCTGTCGTGTGCTGCTCTGCCTCTATTCAGACAGAATGGGATTGTTCTCGGCGTTTCACTGATATCAAATTCGCCTGTGGTGTCCCGACCAACGCTGGCCCAGTCGACTTACAGCACGGCGGCCGGGCCAACGTGCAGCAACAAGCATCTGACTGCCCCAACATATCGTACCCGACGCCGCGGGTTAAAGCATTCCATTAATTAAGACATCCTTCCCGAGGCCCTTATTTCAATTGGGCTTCTGCCCGTCTTATTTCTAGCCATGGACCCTACGACGACCCTTTTCACCTTCATGCTGTGAGTCTCTTTCTCTTCTGACTCTCGGGCCAACCTTTGGTTCGTTCTCGTTTGTTTCTTCCTCTCGTCTCTGCGCCCCCCCATTCGCTGGTCGAAACCCAAAACTCCGTCTCCGTTTCTGCTTCATACCAGTATGATCCATCGTCCTCGTTTGGATGCACATAAAATTGTACGAGTGGCCAATGACCGGGCGTCCCCTTCGTCCCATCACTCCCTACATCTGGCTCTTGCCCAATCCTCCAGGGGCGAATCCGCCAGGCCTTGCGAAAGTTCGTCGCCTCCTCATTTTCCATAAACGGTTGAGGAGAGCATTCGGGATCAACCCCGAAGGCTGCTTGGCTCTGCTTTTCCGGCTGCTTGGGCTTATGTTTCGAACAATGTCGGATGGAAAAAGTTTGTGTCTGGCTAAGCTAGGCCCTACACCCTTTCCGACCCCGGCCTACGCCCGTTCCTCCCCCACCCCATCTCGGCCACCACCAGTGCCCAACAGCAACTTCCCGAGTGCTCCGTCAAACATGTGGTAAAGGCAAAAGGCGTCGCCGGTGTTGATCGGTTCCTTGCCTGCTCCTGAGAGAAGACAGGGTACCCGGTCCGAGCCTCGGCGTAAGCTTAGTGGCTGATGGCTTGGCCTTGCATCACGGCCTACACCCTCTTGCATAAATGGATTTATATAAGCCCCCCGAGCCTCGTCTACCTTGCTAACCACCACGGCTCCTTCAGTCAAACGCATCCCGATGTGAGATCAGTACACTTGGTTGGTTCATGGGACAACTTCTCCAAGTCTTATATAATGGAGCGAGACATTCGACGAGATCGCAGCCAGTGGCGCGGATGCTACACTTTCAAGGATATTGTTCTGGACGACGAGCCCGGCGCAAAGAATACGAAGCGTAACGGCGGACTGAAGATGGGACACACCTACTACTACTATGTGAGCAGCTGACGGGTCGAGTCTTTAAGTCCGGGTCACTGACAGCCATTCAGTACGAGCTCGACGGCACTCAGGAGAGTCACAACCCAGGACAGCCAACCACTACCCAGTGCCCTTATCTTCCCGGCCAGACTGTGAACAGGCTCGACATGCCGTATGAGATGGCTGAGCGCAAGCGAAGCGCATCTCTGGGTTCGCTCTACAACGGCGAATATAAAACCATGAATCCCGAAGACAAATTTGTGACTCCTCGACCACCACCACCCGTGCCGGGGGGCCAAATCCGGCGGCTTGGATCCGCGCCCGCCGCGCAACCCCAAAGGTCCCTCTCCAGATCAGGATCCACATCCCCACCTCCCTCGTGGCGCCGCATGTTCAACAGGAAGCCGTCGACGAGCCGTTCCACTGAGCGCGGCCGGCATTTTGATGACGAGGAGCGACCCCTTTCCCCGTCCTCTCCCTCGGACGACAGCAGGAGCATGGTATCGTCCGAGGGAAGCCGGACCCGCGACCTCTCCCCAGAGTCTCTGCGCCGGTTCCTGTCTGATGACAGTCCGTTTGCTGCCGCGTCTCCGAGCCCTTATGGGCGAGCCTCCGTCTCCATCCCCGACGACATTGCCGAGGAGAACGACGACGATGAGAACTTTGCCAACTCGGCTCTCTCCGAGATCAAACCGTACGCGACCAGCCTGTCGCCCCCTCCCTTCAAGCGCTGTCACTCTGACAGCACGCTTCCCACCGTCCACCGCACTAGTGTTCTCACCCGCGAGAAGAAATACTCGCCTCTTCCCCCACTTCCAGTCAAGGAGTTGAGGGAGCTGGAGATCGCGCCACCTGCCTCGCGCTTCTCTTTCTCTTCCGATTCAAGCGCTGCCTCCTCGATCGGGCCTGTTTCTCCCGAGGACGAGGCTACCTCCTTTTACGACTCTGCCGAGGAAGATCGCTGCTTCAACCAGAGCGATGTCAACCACATCCAGCCCCTGTCGCTGCCCAACACGAGGAAGCCGGCTCTGGAGCAGAACTACAGCTTGCCCCGCGCCCCCGGCATCAAACGCCATCCCGGTGTCCACACCGTCGTGGCTGCTCCTCCCGAGCATGCCCTCGACGACCTCACTCACGACATGAGCTGGATGGTTGACATCATTCGCGCCAAGGGTACCTGATCAGACTGACTGATCGCATATGCACGGACATCGGAATCCGTCGCACACATCATGATCTCAGAGTACGCAAGGTCGCATAGATGGTATTCAACATTTTATTGAAAAAAAAGAAAAAAAAAACACCCCTTAACCCCCTGGGGTCAAAGGCAGGACAACATTGGTGACCAGGGCCACCAGAAATGGATCACATATTGATACGGATTTTTCATGGAGTAACAAAGGAGATATACCCATTTCATTCCCCTTCTACTTCTACTATCACCACTACTACTTATTGCTACCATTCTTGGCTTTTATGCCAACGGCGCTTCCTTGGGGGTGGTTATATTTCAAGAGCTCGGGGGAAATGAAAGGGACATTGCAATGGAGGATTGCATGGGTTGGCGCAAATCGGGAATTGCTTGAGGAGTTCGGAGTATCTGGCCATATCTGATGTAGCAACACGTTGACATGCCGTGTTTGATGGGTGGTATCTACACAGTTGGCGCAAGGTATGATCGGTAGATGAATGAAACATCTTCAAAAATGACTCATAGCCGCCCGGATCCGACTTTGCGACGCATATTCGTTTCCCGTATGCACTAGGCTGCTAAATTGTCGACTAATTTACCCACACCCCCAAGTCAAATAAGCTTGCCTCTTCCGTGGCTGCTGTTTCCTCTGACTCCGAGGAAACATCGAGCCTCATTTTTGAGATGCTTGGGATCTGTGCGCACGAGGTTTCATAGTGACACGAAGCCGGGTAATGCTGGCGAACTGGTGGCTCGGCAGGCGCTGAGTCCGAACAGTAGCGGCAACGTTGGCTCTGCGGACCAACAGGCCCGCGTGGTACCAAGGTTTTTTCTTATTCTGTTTGGGCTCTGATCGCCAACGGCGGCGAAGTTGGATAACAGCCCGTACCTCGAATAAGGAGTACTTACTGCTTATATAAGCGCATTAAGTTAAACCTTAGCTAGGCAAGATGTACCATACTATCCCTGTAACCCTAACCCTGATTTCTAAAAGTTAATAAAATACGTTTTTATTACACTTTTATAATATATAACCCTAACCCTTGCTTAGTCATCATTATATCCAAGTGTTGGATAGCTTATGAGCACCTCGTAAGGACCTTATAACGAAATAGGTGGCGGCAGGGCAGTTATCTGACATTTCCCCTCTTTTGGGCGGCAGAAAAGTCATTCTTATCGAGGTACGTGTTGAAATGGCAAGGTTTCTCATGGGCGAACTCTGCTGATGAAAAAGGGGCCTTTTTTGGCCTAGCGCTGCATTTATTCGGTTTCTGACTAATATTTCCCCTCACGTTATCCAAGTTGGCGCGTTATCCAACATTCCCACCGTTGCCGATCAGGGCCTTGTTCTTACTTTCTCTTTTCTATTTTGTTTGGCGTTGATCAAAATAGAAAGAGGGAGAGAAATTGCGCCTTGTTGAATCATGAGACACACTTGGCCAAGAAGACCAGCCCTGTAAATAGTGCGGGACGATGAAGGGTAGTTTGTCCTTTTTTCTTTCTGAGCTGAGTGTTTTTTTTTCTTTTTTCTCCTTTCGTTGGCATGCTAGTCAGTGAATCTTGACAGACCGTCAGGAGACTCGAGGTCTCTTTCTCTCTTTCTCTTTCTCTCTTTCTCTTTCTCATGACTTGTGTTTCCTGCGGCGACTTACACGTCCCGACTGCTGCCTGAGCTCTCGCTGCTCAACGGTCCAGAATGCGTGGAAGGGAGAACCGGGAAACACAGAGATTTGCAGTTTTCATTCTTTTCTTTTCTCCTTCCTGTTTCTCGTCTGGGTTGCCAGTATTTCATCACTATTATTATTATTATTCTGTCTTTTTGCCGCGTCTGTGTACGTCGGATGTGAGAACTCGCCTGCTGACTCTCGCTACTGCTGGCAAGGAAGGATCAGCTCGCTTGGCCATACATAGTATACTTCCTAAGCCTTCTGCCATGTTGTCCCCGAGTCAGGATCACGAGATTGAACCGACCGGCTTGTCGTTATGGGTCCCTTGCTA